TAGCGGATGTAATAAGGAGTAACTTAGGCTATTTTTTTTAGAAATATCCACAAAATATCTTTTTTGTTAAATTCCACGCGGACGCGTACGCGTATTATAGTACACTAAATCACTTACCAGGGCATAACACCTTTTCCGTCATGCCTACGATTCCAGCAAATTGTCTTTAAAATCCTGAAAACAAAGGAAACAAAACTTAAGTTGGTATAGTATATATAAACAATTATAATTACAAACTATGTACACATTTTGACTATGAAGACATCGCCGACTGGATTATTCGCAATTTTATTATTTGTTTACATTTCAGTGAGAACTTCCTTTGAGACCGTTATTTCAGGCATATTTAGGCGCCACGAATATTTAGAAATTGATTGTAAATTAATAGTGTCCAAATAAAAGATAATGTTTACCCAAAGTGGTCTATACAAAACTTAACAACAAATATACACACATACGTTACGAAAACAGGAATGTCTTGGCCTTGAATATTTCACCCCTATCCAATTATACGCAACCGATTTGTGCTCGGTCATTGAAGTTTGTCAAGTGGCTTCAGAATTTCTTTCGATATAATTTTTATTATGGGGACCCATCCCATAAATACTTGAAACTTATTATTTTGAAAAGATATTTTGAAAGAACAGTTTTGAACTTATAAGTAATAGAGTAATAATAATAACACATAGGTAGTAATATTACGAAAGTCTCTCTGTTTGCCAGTTTGTTACCTTTTCATTCTAAAAAAATAAACCGGTCCTAATGAAATTGGCATGAGGATCGATTGCATCACGAAAAAGGGCAGATGCGTTCATTTATGTAAAAAAAACTGTCCTCCTTTTTTTAAATATGAATCTACGTTTAGGTGTTTGTTAGTCATTCACGCTTATGAATAAACTTATGCGAATAAAATCTACGTTTTATAAATAAAAAAATCATTCCAATTTGTTAATCTAGGATATTATCGATGTACGAAACAACGATTTCAAGCAGATGGCGGGATACAGCTCGAAGGATCTGAGTAGTGCAGGCAAAAGGCCATAGGATCTAAATCCCGTAATCCAGGTGTTAGGTACTTATCAAAATATAATATTCATTATTAAACAAATTTTCAAACATTTCAAATTTAAAAAAAAATCACACAGATCACAAAAGTGTAGGAAACACATTGACAGGAGGTTGCAACTCAATTATGTAACTTTATAGCTAACAATTTTCAATTCAAACATGATTCATATAAAATTTTTACTTTGCATAGATATTAATATTTGTAATATTTATCAATGTTGTAGCACTGATATCAATAAGATGGAGTGATTAGGTATTTACGCCATTAGAATCTTAAACCAGAGTACAAAAATTGGAACCTAATAAAGCTGTCAATATTTAACAGTTAAATATAGACCAGTAACTGAAATACACTTCTTCATTGTCTGAGTGGATACCTCAGTCTTGACTTTTTTGTCACCAAACTGCTTGGTATGTAAGCTTTGTATCAACTAAAGTGCCAATTAGGCAGTGAAATTACAGGATTCAATGCATGACATATTCATCCTCTGAAATAGCAACAAATGAGTTGTATCTCAGCCATTACATGATCATGTGGTGGTTTTCATGTATATAGGCAATAGTTACATATTACCATTACATGTACCATTAGCTGCTTGTCCATGCGTCAAATTACATTACAAAATAGAATTTATTTACATCTGCATAAGAAATTGACTGATTTTGAAAATTTATCTTAGATATTGTGAACATATACATATTGTGTTATGAGTTTCATTACATTATAATTATTAATATATCATTTCCTAAACCCCTTATTAAAGTGATGGGTAGAGTTGTTATTTAAATATCGTATGTATTTTAATAATGATTAAAAAAAATAACAACATAATATCTAACAAGTAGACGTAAATATTTTTTTTAAATGTGTACTTGTGTTAAACTTATTAGAGTTGGATCCAGTTTGTGAACTTTGGTAATTAAGGTAATTTATTAAAAATTGTTTTTAATAAATTACTTTAACAACATACATAATAAGTTAGAATAACAATGTCTTAACACAAAACTTTTACCCAACCAATAATAACTATCATAAATCTACAATATTAATGAAATACAAACTTGTGTTACTCAAGGAAACAGAAATTAATTAATAGCATAAGAGTATAACATACATATACAGAATGTACATTTAAATAAAATAAATATTGCATATGATATCATACCACCTGCTTGCAACTATAAAATATTGTTTTCAGACAACATTACAAGTTTGTAATAACTGTAAATAATTTATTCTGAGTCGAAAAAACATGGTTTGCCCTTGAAAGTGTGAATATCATTAGACTTAACTCATTGTAAGTGTGAATATCATTAGACTCTGTAGGTTCAATAAAAAGGGTGAATAGTTTTAATAATATGTATTGATAAAAAACAGTTGCAAACAAGTGTTATTACATTAACGATGTGACAAGAAATGTAAGTGGGTGAAATTGGTCAATAGAAAACACTGTCCCTATGGTCAGTCATAATGGTTATTGGGTGCATATGAAAAATAGGTAAGATATCTATTGCTGAATGATGTGTAAAGTAAAAGAATTAGTATATGAAAGACATACATTCAACTCACACTTGCCATGTCAGGATTATTTACTATTTCTGATAAAGTAGATGGCTTGTGGAAAACTTTCAACTATTAATGCTATTTATAAAAAATTGTAGATCTATACACAATTTTAAGTTTATCAAATGCAAAATGTCATAGACAATTTATAAAAACTATCCCGTAGAACTATGGCAGACTGATGCAGTAAATTATAATATTTTATAATAAAGATATAATTTATAACATATAAAATATAATGATGTGGTTATTACTTATTTTAAAAATCTGAAAAGGTGTTTACTTGCATGGCTAATTTTCAATTAGACCTTGAAACATTATGTAACTATATAATGGATTTTTATACATCTACTATTCTGAAAAACAAGAATGTTGTTCTTGTTGTACCTATGATTACAGCAAGGAAATTAAACTTATCTAAATCAGTAGTTACTCAAAAAAAGTTTATTTATGAAAGAGACATTAATATAGTTTTTAGATAAATTATAATACAAAAAATGGCAGATATAAACTTCGAAAATCAACTATTCCATAACAATACATGTAACTAATAAATATCTTGTTCATAAAACTACAAAAGACATGCGCACATTTCAAACAATCAGGTATATACCCAAAAACTAGTATATTGAATGTAGCTTACACCGTCATACCTAAGTATTGTCGACTAATAGTATAAAAAGTAAATCATTGTAAACAATAGATGCAGTTCTCTTTTTATTCAATTTTGTTTAGTAATATTTTAAAATTGTAAATCATTCAATTTAATCGGTTACACAATGTTCTTGTTTGATGGTAATTCACCAATATTTATGTTGTAGATATTCATATAATAATGTATATATACATATATGAGTAGTGAAATATGGTAATAATGGAAAAATCTAACCTTACAAACGGAGCTTATTACAATCATGTTCGAACTTGATACTAGTAATACACAATAAATGTTCACAATGAAACCAATCCAATCACAATTAAGTACAATCACATTTTTTGAACTCATAAAATTTATAAAGTTTCAGTTATTAATGCGAAAATGGCGACATGTTAAAATTTTATGTAAATATTATCAAGTAATAAAATATCACGGTTACTAAAAAATAAATGTAATTGTGTATATACACTTATCAAGTAATATTATCCGCACATTCTAGTGATTTCTAAAACTATTTGCAAAACACTACAATATAAACGTTACTTTTTAATATGTAACTAAATTAATTTTATTCCACAAAAGAAGTGAAAATCAAATCAAAATTCAAAATACAATACAAAGATGAATGATTGACTGACTGTTCAATGAATGATGATGTCAATCAATTCAATTGATCTCTAGTTTGTGTTCCATTGTCCATGATCTCACTGTTAAGCTTATAAGCTCACCATGGCGCCACAATGTTATAACATAAAGAAGCAAGAAAGTTAGTACCCAGCAATTCACTGAATAAAATTACTTATAAACTGTTATTTTATAAAAATATATTTGTAAATAATAATAACAAATTACTCAATCCATTCAAATTACTTAATGTTCAAAGAAAGGAATAAAAATGTAATTGAAATATTATTACTGGATTTTAATGATTTTTCGCAGTAATGAAGCTAATTATCCAGATAATATAACCGTAAATGAGTAAAATAAAATATCATCATCAAATAACTTTAAAGGTAGATCTTTAAAGTTTAAATAACAATATTTCTCTAATAATAGCTGATAGTACAAACATTGTATTTCCGCAGAAATGCAAGCTAATTTCAAAATCCGCGCAAATGCTTTTCATTTCAGTTTAATCTAATTATGTGTAAACTTCAGTAAGCTTCCCGTAATATTCAGTGTATATTTATTCCAATTGTTTCAGAAATCGCGACACAGCTAGGTATAACAATAAAACAATGTTAAAATATTTTTCAATTGTCTTAAATTTCCAAAACGTATTAATAATGTTGCAAGTGCTACTTCCGAGCATCTCTATGTAGTTTGTGTATAAAAGGCATTTTTCGTAATACTTTCAAGAAAATCGTATTTCCGAAGAAAGTATTACTTAAAAAATTTTTGTAACGCTTCGTGTCTTCTTATTTTTTATTAACTTTTTATCACTAATAATCTTTGCACGATATTATTGCATATTTATTTGAAATAAAATTGAGAAACCGCCTTCAAAATATCGAATGTAATTTGTATATTCTTTCTCTTCTAACTTATTAGTTACTCCATAAAGAAAATGTAAGACATATATAAAGAGTTCAGTTGCTATTTTATTTAGAATTCTATGTTAGTCTTTCTCAGATCTGTGTCTTTTGAGCTTCTGTGGTGAGTGACCATAGATGACATTGTCATCTGTAGTATAGTATGTCATAATTTAAAATCTGTGGAGTAATCCGTAATCATGACATTGTTCAAAGTTTCCCATTCTCAATGAATTAAATTTAATATTTTTTTGTTAAACAAACAAGAAAGAAACTTCTTACGACGCAAGAAATGTAATTTTTAAAAAATGTCTGTCATAAACGAACCCGTTTTGAACATCATCGTTGTTGGTTTCCATCATAAAAAGGGGTGTCAGGTAAGTGTAGGCGTCTTGGCATTCATCGCTTTTGATAATCGATAATTTAACTATTTATTAGAATACTTGGAAGAAAAGGCAAATTCGATTCCTAGTCGATTTATTGCGTAGGCCGTGTACGATGTGTATATTAGGAGATCTTCGGTTTTTTGAATGAATGAATAATAAATTAATTATTAAAAAATTGGAGGGCAATATATAATAAAATAATGCTTATTAAATTTTTCCTTTTAAATTAAAGTTGATTCTTTGTAAGTATTTTACAAAAATTAAATGATTGAAATTGTATTTATTAGGTAGATGCTTAAACACAGGAACACACTCTAAATTAGAGTCACCTTAATGTAAAATTATCATAAACAAAACAAAAGCCAAAAACTTAATATTACTGATATTAGTCTGTTCATATTATTAACCCAAATACTAAATTTGCAGACATATATAAACTTTCAAATCTAAGCTTTCTTTGATACAGTGTTAAACTTAATCAAATAGTATAAAAAAATTAAAGTTGGAACAATCAAATAATTATTGGTAGTTCGTATTCACACATCTCAACTTAAAAATGTAATGCCATAATAAATTTTCATTATGGCATTACATTTTTAAGATTTCATTCAATTCAAAAGAGCAACACACAAGTTTTGATAAGACAGAATTCCGAATGTGAGGTATATAAAAAAAAAAATTACTATTCAAAAGTGTTTAATTGTAAGTTAATATATATATATATTTAAGTATTTTTGAATAGTCAGAAATTTCTATTCTTCTCTATGTAATAATAAAAATATTCATTTTGTTAATTTAATTTTGTTTTAAAAAATGCATTATGTATTCTTAAAGAATTATTAAAATGCTTATGATCTCTTAAATCTATGTAATTCACTATATTCTGGAAATATAAATCCATATTTGTAGGTGCCTTATATACTTTATACACTACATATGATATAGCCATTATTAGCAATATTAATAATTATTCCTACTATTTAAATAATTAATGACTACCAATCTATATTGCGGCTAATCAATATTGTGTTATTAATTTTAAAATATTCTGTTAAAATAGGTGGAACACTGCTATCCAGAATTGGTACCTGGCCGACCAACAGAACTACCAGCAGCCTGGCGACATTTGCCAGCTCTCGCCTTACCCGATGGATCTCATAATTATCTTTCAGACACAATATTTTTTAATCTGCCAGGACTCACAGAGCCAGAACATACAGTTTATGGCATATCATGTTTCCGACAAATTCCAGTGGAGGTAAGGTGGTATATTCAAAATAATTTCATCAAGAATGCTTTTTTAACTATGTATCTAGTTATCATTAATAAGTTGTTTGATTTATATTGACATAAATTTAAGAGCTCCACTGACAAAAATGTGGCTCATAAATTATGAATGTATAAATAAAATTTTAAGGGAAAGTATGCATGTGTACAACATGGGTACATCAAACTAAGTGAAAAGACAGTGATAGTATTATATTAGTCCTAGTAAAATGTTTTTAATACTTGATACATGGTATGTATTTTAAAATTAACCCTATTATATCTTTGGGTATAATTTTGTACATTAAAGCAATAACCAAACAAACAAAACAGAACCATTTATGGCAATAAAACTAATGCATTGTTTCCATAGGTTCAATTATTATTTTAGTACTCTATAAGAATAATAATTATAATAATTTTCCTTTGTCCACAGCAAGTAGTGCAGAAAACTGAAGACATGACTAGAAGTTCAGTGCAAAAGAGTGTGTGTGTGATATGCAGAGCACCATTGTTTGGACGACTTGCTGTTAAAATGGAGTTGGTGGTGAGGGCTTGGTTTCTTCAGGCTGACTTTTCACAAACTAAACTATTGGAGGATGCATTTAAACATTTAAATAGTTGTCCAGTTCAAATAGATCAAACTTTAGAAGGTAAAATACCTTGAAAGTATATTTTTAATATAAGCATGGACTTATCAGACAGGGTCATCTAAGAAAACGAGCATATTTTGTATTTAACATTTGAAATCTGATATATCTAGTTAATTGAATTTTGTAAACACATAATTAAAATATGCAATGTACAAATGAAATAAAAAATGAATAATTACTGCTTGAATCTTATAACATGTCAGGTATTGTGCATACATTAAAGCTGAGGCTTCTGTGTCATATGATGTTATCATATGACACAGAAGCCGAATGTACTTGATTGTTGAATTCTTAGTTCAGTGTGAACTGCAACATTAGATGATTAAATATGAAATTAATATTTTCAGGTTTGTCTGTGATGCAATTGGTAGAAAGCTGGCGTCATAAGGCATTATTGCTGTTCAAACTGTTGCTCTTACGGCGCAAAGTTCTCATGTATGGGTCGCCGGCGGGTCCGTTGTCAGCTGCACTCTTAACTCTCATGTCATTGCTACCTCGCTGTTTGGAACATGGGTTGACACGAGCAGCCAATGTAACGTAGGTATCAGTTATAATTTTGAAATTAAGCCTTTCTTTTTTACTACATAATGTCATAGCAAAAGCAATAAATACAATAAGTGAATTTGAGTGCATTGTAATTTGTTTACTATCTACCTATCTTCACGCCACGGTCTTTTTGTGGTAGGTTGAAGACTCTTGATTTCTTTAACAAACAGTACACAATCTTATGATATTTGAATATTTTTCATGAAATGACAATTTTATCAGTTTATAAATTAGCTGAATGTAGAATGAATTATATGTGTCTTGAATTTTATATATAAATATAGATAATGGATTTATAAACTTCATTAATTGTTACAACTGATAATCATACCTCTAACCTATTTGTTTGGCCATACAAGAAGTTTTATTGCTAAGTGTACTGTAATTACACTTCTATTCATACATATTTGTTTACAAAAATATGTTTTCAATAAGATTTTTCTGTTTTCCAGATTATCCAGACCACTATCACCAATTAATGTTGATGACAAAAATAAAGATATTGTTGACTGTAGCATTATAATATCAAATGAGACTTATGTTAATGGATCTAATCAAAATGAGGAACTATCGCCCAAAGAAACTGGTAACATGTTAGAAGAGAAAGATAGAGTTAGTAGGCAGAGTTTTGATGAGGCTCTACTTGGTGAAATCATTGATAGACAAGATCTGGGCAGGGAAAAATGTCACAGTATTGGCGAGAAATATAAATCACAGAAGTCCATGATGGAAGCTCAGCAAAGTCCAACAATGGCTAGAGATATGAGTGTGGATGGGTTGTATAACTTGACACAGCAAATTGATCAGGTGGAATGTGGGTTCCCACTGCCTCTTTTTGAAGATGGTTATATCTGTTTGCCTTACTTATCTTTGCAATATCTAGACCTCTTATCTGATTCTGCCGTACAGGGATTTATTGTTGGAGCTTCCAACGTATTATTTAAGCAAAAACGGCAGTTATTTGACGTTTTGGTTGAATTAAATGAGATGAGAATAGAGACGGCCGATATGATGCTCAGGAGGCAACTAGTTCTGGGTACTGAGGACCTCCGATTCGCTGATCACGTAGTTCGCCACGGCGCGACGCAAGGCGACGCGTGGATAAGAGACCAGTTTTCAAGTTATTTAATTTATCTGTTAAGAACATCACTTTTACCAGGTAATTAAGGAGAATATACTAGTAGTCTATCTATGGATGGTATCTATGGATACCTATGGATATAATTATGATATATGATGTGTTTTAACAATATTTAGGTATTGTATTTAAATGAATTTTATATAACATATTATTTAATTTTATAATATAATTGAATCATATTTAGGATGAACACATACAATAATTATTTTTAATTGCTTAATTTGTGGCAGTATACGATATTTCATTGTCAGAATGGTAGATAATGCCGCATGGTGTAGTCCTCCATATTATTATGTATTTTAAAATTATATGCATTAAAGTTTTAATATAGATAAATAAATTCAATACTGTTTATCCTTATTACAGAAAATGTCGCGAGTTCGATTTATATTTAGTTTGTTAAAACAATAAAAATAATTTTCAACAGAAGGCAGCCGAGAGATAGATTCCTACAATGCTCAATTTATGACTGCGTTCAAAGCGACACCTGCTTATCAGCAATGGCTAAAGACCACAAACAACGGTGACATTGAGGCGTTTGTGAATCTTGCGCCTGTGCATCCATTCTCCGGTCAACTATCCGTAGCTGATATGAAGCTTAAGTTCGCCCAGTGAGTATTCTAATTTAAAACATCAGAATGCTCTATATATAGATATAGCTATAGCGCGTTATGATAATTCATTAATATAAGCCTAGTATATCAGTTAGTTGTTTCGTTTTCCTTTATATGTAATATACATTTATATGTTTAGTGTAAACACACGCAAATGGTGTCATATCTTGATTTTTATGGTACAGCACAATGTCAACAACGGAAGGCGGCAGGAAGGTGACAGCTGCGGTAGCAAGTACGGGCCGAGCGGTAGCGACCACGTCGCGCGCCGTCGGCGGAGCCCTGTCGCACGCGCGCGGGGCCCTCTCGGGCTGGTGGTCCGCACTCACGGCCCCCACCACCGCCGGCGCCTTGCCCGCACACACCGGTCCCGCGCCCGCAGATGACGCAGTCGATGCCGCAGACCAGCCTCACGACAACAGGAACCAAGTTCTGGAGACTCCCGACCCCCCTGACAAATCCATAGAGGACGCCGCCACGAACGTTAGCAAAATACAAGTGATATAATGTTAACAGTTAAATGTAGAATTCCGATAAGTGACGTTTCATCTTAGCCCAGTAGTATTTATTGTGATAGGTATACGAGGAGACTTGGAATGAATCTACAATTCTGATAATCGAATTTGTCAAATATTTGTATGTATAAAATGGCTGTTAATAAGTTATACAAATTAACAGCGATTAAATCCATTATGAGATTATTTATATTATTAATTTAATTGAAAAGCTTAATTAATAGTCCTTCCTATTTCTAAGATTTTCAATTATTGCAAGTACTTAATTTGTAGAGTCACCGGCAAACACTATCATTAAACATACAGAATAATTAATGTATGCGGTCTTAAAATTTTAAATATGGAAAAGAATTTAATGTTGATTTCCTTTTTTAAATAACAAAACATTGAATTTGAATAATTTATTTGACTTTATTTTGGAAATTATAAGGTTTAAAACAATTAATTATATAAATATGTATATCTTTGAATATGTAGATAATAGTTATTTGTAGACTTTGATACTGTTTGTGATCTCTGAAACATAGTTTGTTGTTGATATTCTTATAGTATATTGTTTTTAGTATTTGGTGTGTAAAAAGTTGATAATGGATTAAAATATTAAGATAAATGCTTATTGCAATATTTTCTATTACTTTTTTACAAATTTTTGTTTTATAATATCAGAGATAATTCTCTTTACGTTATATTTATTTATCTATGTAACATTGTTCACTATGTACCACAACTTTATGGTAAAAACTAAAGTTGTTCAGTTTAACATAATACAATAATGTGAAGAATGAAGTTTTTCATTTGTTCCGTATAGTGTGAGCTTTTTTTAATACATGTAACATTATTAACAGATCCCTTCCCCCCTTCCCGTAAGATAACGATAAACGATATAAGCAGTATTAGGATGATTTTTCAATAAAAGACGTCATTGGAGAATAAATTTATTTCATTATTCTTAAGGATATAATATCACAATTCTGGATAAAACCAATATTACATTTAAATGCAATATTTAATTACATCTTGCGTGAAATTTAACAACACATGTCGATACATTTGCAACTAACATCATAATAATACATTTGCGACTATTTCATTATATTGTCTACACACACACCCTTATTTGGGCTAGAATCTGTTACAATATGAATTATCATTAAAATGTATGTAATAATGCGTATAAACAATGAATATTCGTTTTCGTAGATAAGTACTTCAAAAAGTGATTACACCTATATACATAACGTGTAGTAGGCTTTCTTTAGAACATGACCCAACGTTTAATGTTAAAATTTCAAATCAGACTGCCGAATCTGGCTCATCCCACGGCCAAGGAGGACCAGGGTCTAGGGCGTCCTGACGCCACAACGGTCGACAGTTTTCTGACGATCCATGAGCTAGAAGGCGCATATTGTAAGGTTCGATCATATTCGATACGGACGCTCCACTGTCGTGTCTCTCTATATGAACTCTTGGCACGCTACGATCATCATTAGCCTTATTAGGTGGTAGAAGGTCGAAATCGGCTGCTCCATCCCGCGGTGAGTCTAACTCGGTTATATCGGAACGCGGTGAGAAATCAGAGCTCGCAGTGACATCTTGCAAACTACGATTCCCGCAGTCCACTTCTATCGGTCTAGACGGCGCTGAAGAGGACGCCATCGTCGAATGCGAACGCACCGAAGGTGCTGCTGTTGGTGAGGACTCGGGACTGGAACCGGCCACGTGACTTTGTTCTGACGAAGACACCAGTGGCGCAGATTCGTCTTCGCTGCCTAAGGTCTCGTCACGTGGTGGGCTGCGCTCTCGAGATCCGCTGCCGCGGGAGAGAATCTTGTCCTTGAGACGCGTGAGTCGTTCTGCCGAACTCACCTTCCGAAGAATCTCAGCGGTGCGACGTAGATTTTTCAATTTGAGATCTACAACCGGCGAACCGGTACGCGTGGAGTCTTCGACTGAGCGTGAGCGTGTCGAGAGGCGTCCTGCATCGAGGGGGTCTTCGGCGACGAGCAGCGAGGATGGGCGCGACCGGTCTTGTCGAGTTCGTGCTGTTCTGTTGTTGTGTGGTGCCTCGTCGTTGGATCTACGAGGCCGTGCACTGAATGTAATGTGGCCGTCGTCAGAGTCCTCTTCGTTTTCAACGTTGAAGGTGACGGCGGGCGGGTCGGCGACCCTACGCACGCGTAGACTGCCGCTGCTCTTGAGTATGGCGTCGCGGCGGACGGGCGGCGGAGTGACGGCAGGTGATGCGGTCACACGAAGCTGCAGTTCGTGCTCCTCGTCTGAAAGCGAGGAGGCTACGTCAGGTCGCACACTTTTTATTTCACAAGGTTGTAAAGATTAAATTAGGCGATATAGCGGAAGTGGAAAGGTGGGGAGAGGAAATTCACCTGTTTTATTTCACCGACGTGGCGGTACCCGAATCATGTTGATGTTTGCTGAATATTGCACGAATGATGGAATCTATGAACGAGGCTAGCTAGCGGGACTGAAATCAAACAACTGAGAATTCTTCTAAATTTATTATAACAACAACAGTTATGATGAAATACTATATGGAATGATATTGCTATGGAATATTCGACAAGATAGTCAATGGCTAGGAACTAATCTATATAATATGATAGAACATATCTTAGCAAATTTGGATACATTTATAGTTTTTCTAATATCACATTAGGAATTGCTATACAACTATCAGAAATAGGACAGTATAAAAACTATCTTCCATTGTAAAATTAAGTACAATTATACTACTAGTTTTATATATTAAAGGAAGATATGTATTGTGTTACGATACTAAGAGAAATTAATAATGTTACTAATACATTCTTATATTTAAAACTGTCTTTAAAACTGGGTCCCATTAATTTTTTCTACACTTACAGAGTTCACAACAATACAGCCGTTTCGTAAAAAAATCTGGGTCAAAGAAAATAGCAAAAATAAATTATTACACGAATTAAATCAATGAGCTACATATTGTTTACATAAATTAAATAATAATGTAACTAAACTAATATTTTTCATACAATATTTACAAAACTAATATAGTAATCTGACATTCACAACTTATTAAGTACTTTATAAAGATGGCACAATATAAAGCTATTAGCATAAAGCTTTTAATACAATAATAAACTGGAATGTTGCAAAAAATACAAATAAAATATAATTGTACTATAATTGGGCTAAAATGGAAACAAACATAATAATAAAAATTTTAAATCAATATTTTCAGACTGGCAAAGTATATTGTGCATGTAAAAACTAAACAATTTCATTTTCTTTCTTTCATATAATGTCCATAATTCTCAGTTTTCAATATCCACAAAATAAATAACATGCACCTTCTACAACCAAATTGTTTTACACAGCGGATCTCATAATGGCAAGATTTCGTTTCCAGCATCAAGAAACCTTAGTCGGGTTCGGGATTTGTATCATACAGATCCTGTTCCATTAATAACCGATGTCATCTCAGATATTCATCCATGGTTGTCTAGAGGAAGACATCATCGGTAACGTTCACTATAACGTGGTCCGGGCGGTCGGGCTGCCCGTCAGATGCTTGATTTTTGGTGTAGGGATTTCGGTGAGGGACATCGTTTGGTTCAGGGGAAGAGTCAGGGGTAGGGGTGGTACTGACACCCTGTGGGGTGGGGTCAGGGTTCGAGTGCTCGCGGATGGTTCGCAGGTGGGGCTCACCTGGGTGGGAAGGGGGCTCCGACTGTAATACGTCCTCCATTGCTTCTTCGTTTAGAGTCTGTAGAGCGCCGCATATCATTTGCTCTTCGAGGGTCACCTTAAACAGAAATATTATCTTTATCGAATCGTTTTTACTTGCACTCTAAAAAGTCACAAAAGAGAACGGGAGATTGAAGATTATGGTGAGCAAATCGATCCCTATATATTTCTCTCAAAATACTATATTTAGAATTGAATGTCACTCATACGTGGCATGGAAATATATGTAGTGGCGAGCACAATCTGAAAAAAAGAAATTTAATTATCTGTGGATAGATATAAATAATTTATCGTGTTATTTGTTTGTGTAAGTCCTAATTATTACGAGCTATGTAGTTAAGCCCGTCACAATGGCTTAATGTATTAATAATATATGTAATAGAAAAATATTTTCTATGATTACAACTATAATTATTGGTTTCTTTAGAGTTAATAAATTTAATATTTACTTTCTAATAGTCGTCATCTAAAGATTCAATTGAACTGTTTACAGTCTTAACAATGTATGAAATAGATATAAAAATGTATTATAATGCTAAGGTAGCATAGAATAAAAAAATACATAAACAATTATTACATAATTGTATTTCTATAAGAGCTATTTAAGAAAATAATAATATTGACTGAACCGATAATATCTATTCAAATATAATATTATTCAGTTTTTCTGATTTAAAACTGTGCTTATCTACAGTTATTAAAATAAAAGCAAAAATCATTAGGTTTATTTATCGAACTAATACAACCATGCACTATTTAAATATGCTAGCTAAATAAACTAATGCGTAGACTACACATATCATGATTGGATGGAATATTACGGTAAGAAATTTTGTAATTGAAACAAATTATATTATTTCACTTAACAATAAATATTTCACAATACTAATAAATGTGTGACGGGAGCGAATGATATCAAGAAAAATAAAATATCTTCTCTCTAGTCGGAACAGAAACCAAAGCATAATATAATGATAATTATAACCACATATTAAAAATGAATATTATAAAAAGAACAATATATTAACTGGTCAATCTGCCAGTAATTCAATGCATAAAACAATATTATTTTTTATAATATTAAAAATTGTATTCTGCTGATGCATATGTAATGAAACTCCAACTAAACTGCAGTGCACGTTATGAACAGCATTTAAATTCTACATCTATTTTAACTTTCGAGAACCTAAATAATCACCTGATATTCCGGATAGGGCTGCAACAATTGCATAGATATCATTTACGAACAGTAATATTCAATTATATGATACTGAAAACTACTAATTGGAATGTGCATTGGGCTGAAAAGAATTTACTAATGTAGGGGAAGAAGATAGGAAAATATAATTTTAAGAAAAAGTACTGATGTCTTAAAAGATTGTTCTTTTAAAAAGGTTAAATTTATTACAATATAAACTTTTTAAAAGTAACTGAGTAACTGTTTTATATAAACTCTTAAGTAAATATATTAATATGTATATTAAAACTATACTGAGTATACTAATTATTATATTGCTAACCTGTTTTTCAACATTTGATGGCCGACTGCGTTGATGTTCTAAAGTAGGTCTCGTTGTTTTGATACTGTCAGTCTCTGAATCACCTGCTTTATCAGGTATCACTGAAAATAAAATTATCTTTTTATTTTCTTTATGATCACAAACATTCTAGCATTTATTCAGTTAATAGAAAACTGTTATATATATATATATATATATATATATATATAAACACCTCTTTGGGCACTTTGTTGATCACGCCACAACCTAAACACTTGCCGATTCCACCTTTTGCACTGAATAACTTGACTCCTATCGCGTATATCTCAGGCGGTATGGCAACGTCGCATTCTATTTTGCGATGTGGCCATATATATTCGTCGATAGTACGATATACTCGACACTTTTTTTACTAATAATTCGTGACTGAATGGCTCCGAACGGCTAAATTTTTGGTATACACAAAGACTTTTTGGCTCTGAATATATTCCAAAAATCAATTAATTATGTTGATCACTTTATATACTCGTCCTTACTGCGATACTTACTTTCATCCGAATATATATAGATACCGTAACGGTCTATCAATTATGAATTTATTAATTTACTAATGTAGATATTTTATATTCGCAATGCTCCATACATGCAAGCTCCAGCAACGGTGGAGGCAGGGTCCCCCCTGCACCGTACACCGCACCCCGCGCACACAAACAAATTAGATATTTTTTGAATACACAAAGACTTTTTGGCTCTGTATATATATTTCAAAAATCAGTTAATTGTGTTGATCACTTTATATACTGGTCCTTACTGCGATACTTATTTTAATCCGAATATATATAGATACCGTAACGGTCTATCAATTATGAATTTACTAATCTAGATATTTTATATTCGCAATGCTCCATACATGCAAGCTCCAGCAACGGTGGAGGCAGGGGGAGCACCGTACACCGCACCCCGCGCACATAAACAAATTAGAATAAATTAAATTCATAAGATTATTTATATATTTCGACTGCCTCGGTGGTCACACCGCTTTACATCCGATGGTCGCGGGTTCGATTTCTCGCACGATGCAAACATTTGTACTCATCGGTCATCGATTGTTTTCATCGGTCTGGATGTTTTATATGTATATTATATATGTATTTACAAAATAAAAATATCTATTTATATCAGTTCAGTATCAGTCTGTGTTAATTGTCCAGGGTTATTTATTATATTTTTATAAACGGTTATCTTTTTCCATCGCACCGCTCGCTATCGACAGTGAATTCATAGAAATGTCACTCTAAAAACAAAAATAGTTTTGTGTTTTGTATTTCAAATACTAAATGCAAAATAGGTATTTTCAAAATACTTTTTAAAAATTAAGTACCTTTTGAATTTTTGTCCAAACCTCAGATATTTTATTTATTTTAGGTATATCAATCATTACATAGTAATATAAAAACAAAGTCGCTGTCGCATCTAACAGTACATAAACAAAGAAAGAAGACTTTGGCTCTGATACCGTAACGGCCTATGAATTATGAATTTATTATACCTAATCTAGATATTTTATATTCGCAATGCTACGTACATTGTAATATCCGCCTCCATTCATTGTAACGGTGGAGGGACTAAATAGTTGAATAAAACTGAATAAGCAGTTGCTCCACTCTATACGTACTGCGTCGTCGTCGTATGCTGTTCATTTTTTCACTCGTTTTGGCGCCAAGAGAGGGTCACATAGTCGTGGTCAAGTTAAGAACTTATAATTTAATTTTGATAACAATAGATACAAGTAAAAAGTAGGTATTATATTAATGTACGTAAGTACTGTACTTAAAAATATTTATTCTTTATTGTACATTTGAAAAAGTTAACACTTAAGGACTTGTACATATACACGTACATACTGCCATTTTCTCTTAAAGACATCCAGAGAAGCACTATAAACTCTACACTCAAATACGCGGGGTGCACCGACCTTTGACCTTATAACACCTGATTCGCGCGTAACGAATTACATTGCTACTTTTTGGTATTTTATAGTGGATATGTCACTATAAAATATTATTATTTCTTTAGATTATGACATAATAACATAGTTTACATGATTTTAAGGGAAACATACGATAAAAAAAAATCCCGTAAAATGTAAAAGATAAAAAATGGTTATTGTTGGTTATCCTTAAGAGATAGACATATACCATCACGGACTTTTTTGTTGACCTTATTTTGATACATCTCAAAGCACTAGACAACACGCATTTTCATTAAACAGTATTGTATTTTTTTATTTCTTTAACTTTAATGCACAAAAAAATTTGTACATGTGGCGGACTTAATATTTTGCCGCGTTATTTACCAGGCAACCATGAGTGGTGCAGAGAAAGATTATTGGCGGTGCACTAATATAAATAAGAAATGTCAAAAAAAGATTTATAAAGATAATAAAGATAAGCAAAATATACATTTCTATAAAAAAATAACAGTATACATACATAAATATATATGTAAATATAACCCATAAATGTATAAATATTATATATAAGTAAATACATAATGATCCGATAATCAAATTATAAGTACAGTCTCAAATTGAAAGTAAGAAAAACAGAAAATATAGAGAGAACTATATGGATATAACAGAAAGATGTGAAAAAAGGAGAAGGACAGTAAAAAAGTTACAAATTTAAATAATGTTCCCGCAATTTCTGTTTAAATGAATTTATTACATTATTATATATATTAGGCATACGACTAGCCTTATGACTGTTACTTTTTTTTAATCTATACATCTATACATGTAAATAAAATTGGAGTTTCTGTTTGTAATATTGAAATAACCGTTTTTTACTACTTGCATATGAATATAAATACGGTACATACACCAAAATAACATATTTTACAAGTTTTGTCTGTCTGTCTGTCTGTTTGTTCCGGCTAATCTCTGAAATAGCTGGACCGATTTTGACGGGACTTTTTTTGGCAAGTAGCTGATGTAATAAGGAGTAACTTACGCTACTGTTATTTTAGAAAAATAAAATTTCACGCGGACGAAGTCGCTGGGGCCAGCTAGTCTATAGATATACCGAGATTTAATGTTTAAGTTGCTATTATGTTGTTGACAAAATTTTACTGTAATGTTACTATTACGTTATCCTACACAATTTGTATTATTTTGGATGAATAAATAAATAAATAAATAATAATCTATACATCTATACATTTAATAAAAATTGGAGTGTCTGTTTGTAATATAGAAAAAACCGTTTTTTACTACATGCATATGAATATATATAAGGTACATATACCAAAATAACAATTTTTATAATTTTTGTCTGTCTGTCTGTCGGTCTGTTTGTTCCGGCTAATCTCTGAAATGGCTGGACCAATTTCGACGGGACTTTTTTTGGCAATTAGCTTATGTAATAAGGAGTAACTTAGGCTACTTTTATTTTAGAAAAATAAAGTTAATTCCACGTGGACGAAGTCGCGGGAACAGCTTGTTTTTAATAAAAACTGTTTATTTGATAAAAAAACATCTTTTTTGTGGTACTTGAGAATGTTGAAGCCTGTTGTTTGTAATATTGAAATAACCGTTTTTTACTACTTGCATATGAATATAAATACGGTACATACACCAAAATAACATATTTTACAATTTTTGTCCGTCGGTCTGTTTGTTCCGGCTAATCTCTGAAATGGCTGGACCGATTTTGACGGGACTTTTTTTGGCAGGTAGCTGATGTAATAAGGAGTAACTTAGGCTACTTTTATTTTAGAAAAATAAAGTTAAAAACCACGTGGACGAAGTCGCGGGAACAGCTAGTGTATAATATATTAGAGATACCTACGTGTTTTTTTATTGATGACTAGCTGTACACGGGATTTCGTCCGTGTTGAATTTAACTTTATTTTTCTAAAATATAAGAAGTTAAATTCCACGCGGACGAAGTCGGGTGTACAGCTAGTTGTCGGTAGTCTAGCGATTTAGCTAGCACACTGCTTTGATTCCTGCTTGGTGGTCGAGGGTTCGATTCCTCGCACGCTGCAAACATTTGTATTCATGAGTATGATTGTTTGTAACGGTCTGGGTGTTTTCTATGTATAGATAATATATATGTATTTACGAAAAAAATCTTTGTATTTATATCAGTACCCATAACATAATCTTCAGCTAGCTTAACTTGGGTCTAGATGAAGCTGTATGAATTGTCCTGAGATTACTATTATTATTAATTGGTACACAGGTAAACTACTAACTAGGTCATATTGGTGTTGTTTGTTATGGTGAAAAAACTAGTAGGTATATATATAAGTTACACGTACAATTTCAAAGACTTATTTCTTGAAAACTACTGGCTATTCTGAAATAAAACTTTAGTGTTTGTATATGTAATGTTTGCATATAAAATATGATTAAAGGTTACCAGTGTATTTACACTTTTACTGAACAAACAGAGTTGTTTAATACTGAAAATATTGTGTGGAAGGCATCAATTACTTTCAGTGCATGTATAGCTTTTCTCTTTTCCTAATTATTATTATTATTAAGTTTAAAGTGGTTGAATTTTACGTAAGGGGTTTTTATACATTATTTCTAATGTACCATTTATTTTAAGTTTTTTAAACTCTATTCATCGAGACCTATCTAATGAGTCCAAACACGATATTTCTGCTGTAAGTTTTCGAAGAGTATGTTCATCATCTGATAATACTGGTGCCAGCATGAAGTCAAGGTTAACAGATAACTAATTACTTTTATTTCGTCAAAATCTTTAGATTACGTATAATAAATTCATAATATCGCTACCTATTCAAATCAAAACAAGTATTAGGTACTTCATGTACTAGTATATAAATTCATCAACACACAAGTAAATGATTTTTAAATATATTCAGAGCCAAAAAATCTTTGTGCATTTAAAAAAAATGCCGATACGGATTCACTATTGCAGGAAATTGTTGAAAAAATATATATCGAGTATAAGTATCTACTACTATCGACGAATACATTTGGCAACAACGCATGGTCTCGGCCGGAACGGCAACATCGCATATTAGAATACAAAGATAGTGATAGAAAGAGAGAGACAGTGGATCAGCAATATCTACGGATCGTGGCTGGATCAACTAAGTGTGCAAGTGTATATAAATATATATATATATACATTTGTCTTTAATTCAAAGGAAATATAAATAATGAACGCATCACATTTAAAACAGTATAAATAGTTAATAATTTAATAATAAGTTAATAGTTTAATAAGTACGTACGTAATATTATCACATGGTAACAGCACGTATTATGGCAAAAATAAACATCGGCTGATTTGAAAAGATTTATTATAGTAATAATAGTAATCTCAGGACAATTCACACAGCTTCATCTAGACCCAAGTTAAGCTAGCTGAAGATTATGTTATGGGTACTGATATAAATACAAAGATTTTTTTTCGTAAATACATATATATTATCTATACATAGAAAACACCCAGACCGTTACAAACAATCATACTCATGAATACAAATGTTTGCAGCGTGCGAGGAATCGAACCCTCGACCACCAAGCAGGAATCAAAGTAGTGTGCTAGCTAAATCGCTAGACTACCGACAACTAGCTGTACACGCGACTTCGTCTGCGTGGAATTTAACTTCTTATATTTTAGAAAAATAAAGTTAAATTCAACACGGACGAAATCCCGTGTACAGCTAGTCATCAATAAAAAAACACGTAGGTATCTCTAATATATTATACACTAGCTGTTCCCGCGACTTCGTCCACGTGGTTTTTAACTTTATTTTTCTAAAATAAAAGTAGCCTAAGTTACTCCTTATTACATCAGCTACCTGCGAAAAAAAGTCCCGTCAAAATCAGTCCAGCCATTTCAGAGATTAGCCGGAACAAACAGACCGACAGACAGACAGACTAAAATTATAAAAATAGTTATTTTGGTATATGTACCTTATATATATTCATATGCATGTAGTAAACATTACAGTAAAATTTTGTCAATAACATAATAGCAACTTAAACATTAAATCTCGGTATATCTATAGACTAGCTGGCCCCAGCGACTTCGTCCGCGTGAAATTTTATTTTATTTTTCTAAAATAACAGTAGCGTAAGTTACTCCTTATTACATCAGCTACTTGCCAAAAAAAGTCCCGTCAAAATCGGTCCAGCTATTTCAGAGATTAGCCGGAACAAACAGACAGACAGACAGACTGTACTATGCTATACTATGTATTGATTGATATACCTAAAATAAATAAAATATCTGAGGTTTGGACAAAAACTCAAAGGGTAATTTATTTTGAAAAAGTATTTTGAAAATACCTATTTTGCTTTTAGTGTTATAGTACTTTAACTGTTATGTTTTAAGTAACAATGTTTAATTATAATTAATACTACTGCACCAACACTCCGATCGTGCAAAAAAATTTGCTGTTTCATTATTTTTTAGTTCAATTAGTGGTCTACCTAAGTTCTGGGCTAAGGGGGGGGGGGGGAGAGTCATGACGCCCCCATGACTCCCATGACCTCCATGACGCTCCCCCCTGGATCCGCTGTTGCGTCTTCTCTTTATTCGCTCAGTAACGTTGTTACAAAAGAAAAGATTCCCGTCCAAAAAATAACAAGTATTGAGGTTTGATCTGGAGTCACGTTACTCCAGACTGATTTCTATAAATATTTAGATTAGATAGACTATTATTCTTGAAATACTAGCTAGACATTATTAAGTTACTGTAGCCATAATGTAGTTGCCCAAACGTGCCAATGAGGAAGCCCTTGGCAAATGCTGCACCCTGATTGGCCCGTTTGAATTGGATCAAGAAGTGCTCGTATGCCAAAAAGGTGGATTTGTATAAAATCGTGTATAAATCACTTAATTATTATTATTACTCGTCGTGACAGTTGTGGCTCAAAACGGAGCAACATTTACATATGGTCATCTGGCATTAGATCAACAAAAGGCCTCCGGATCAACAAGTGAAAAAGGATCAACAAAAAACTACCTATACGGCCGTCTGAGCCACAAAGTGCCCAAGGGGATATTATATATTATATATATATATATATATATATATATATATATATATATATGTATATATATATTCTTATGTGCAGATATCTTTAGATATGCATTTAACTCTCCGTGATCATTGTGGATGTTAGTTGGTGAATACTGAATATACAAACAGTAATACTGTTTTTTCTAATGTATTAACATATTTGACATTGAACCTAGTGTGTCAGTGTTTCCCATGACAATTTTTTTTTAATTTGTTGTCCAACTGGATTTATTTATATCTATTTCATCTAATATAATATATGTATACTCTGTTGTGGTGACAAGGTACTCACCGGTTACAGTTGGCGCGTTAGTGGGCATGTTTGCTTCCAGTTCACGTAGATTTATAATGAGAAGCTTGAATAATTCCCAGTCGCCGAATGGTAGTTCCAGTACCTGCACAATAAATCAAGTTCTTATAAGAATAATCCAAGAAAATTCAATCAGCGCCATTTAGTCCCAAGATAAACTGAATTTATGGTAAGGATAGAAATACGTAAATACACTTTTTTTGTAAATAGATACATAATACAGAAATCACCCACGCCAATACAAACAGCCACACTTATTATATCTAAATTAATAGAGGAAATATATTGATATTTTGGTTATAATTGGGTGAACATTGAAAATATTGAACTTATTTAAAACTAGCTGAGTACGCGACTTCGTATCTGTATAACAATATGTTTTATCGTAAACCGGAACATTACAATAGTGAAAACTTCACTCAAATCGGTTAATCTGTTTCCGAGATAAGCGCGCTTAACCTATCTAGAAAAATTCTAGCTGTCGTTGTTTTGGGTTCTATTACTATTGTTGAAAGCCCCACTAATACCACCTTCTCATATGTATTTCATATACAGACCAACCCAGTACCCATTCGAAGCCGCTGCGGGTCGGTGGTAGATATAATACGTACCGGTTCGAGTTCCTGCAGGCGGCAGACGGTGAGCGCTAGGCCACATACGTGGTGTCTAAGTAAAGCGGTGGCGGCTAACTCGCCACTTGCGCCCAGTGCCTCCCGCGCCACGCTACACACGCGCTCCGTACTCATCGTCGACAGTCGCAGGTTCGACACGTCGCTCTATATATCACAGATGATTATAATAAAAAATCATTTATTCATGTAGGACATTTTAGCCGTTTATGCACGTTAAGCTTATTGTTGTATTCATATGTTTTACCCTACCATCCAGTTCAGCGTACAGATTCAATTTAGAAGAACTGACAAAACAAACTGTAATCTCTATATGGTAGATGATTGGCACCAGGGACATCATGTAGGCAACCGAAACATAGTTTACAGTTAAGCCTCTTGGAATTTTAAATAAGTGATATCCAAGTACTTGAGACTACTCTAAAAAGTCCACTGGCACTTACAATACAGACAGTATAGATAATACTCATTTCTTTGTTTATCGATGTTTTTTCTGGCATTATAGGGTGCTACAAAACTGCACAAAATAATATTTCTAAATTTGATTTAACTAAACGTTACTGTTCATTTTCGTTATCACTAAGCGAAGAATCGAGCATTATTACGAACGCTTAGCTGTTCCCGCGACTTCGTCCGCGTGGAAAAAAACTTTATTTTTCTAAAATAAAAGTAACTTAAGTTACTCCTTATTATATCAGCTACCTGCTAAAAAAAGTCCCGTCAAAATCGGTCCAGACATTTCAGAGATTAGCCGGAACACACAGAGAGACAAATGTGACAAAAACAAAAATGATATTTTGGTATTTGTACCGTATTTACATTCATATGCATGTAGTAAAAAACGGTTATTTCAATATTACCAACACTGCAATTTCATTTATATGTATAGATTAAGTTATAGAAATATACATAAAATGGATCACTAAATAAGTAGCAAATAAAAATGTATTTATTACACTCACCAATCCAGGAAAAGCTGTTCTGAGCATAAGGTAAGGGTTCTGCGCTAACGCGGGGTGGGAGGGTTGCTGTGGCGCGTACTGCGGCTGCAGCTGGTGCAGCGGTTGCAGCGGTTGCAGCGGCTGCGGCTGGTAGCCCGCGGCCGTGTTGGCCCAGCCCACCCACAGCGGTTGCGGCGTAGCCACCGCACCACTGCCAACACCCAGCCCGGGTCCGCCCGGGGACGATGTGCGCTGTTACAAAATATATCAACGTTAGGAACGAATTTTCTACTACATTTAGAAAACATGTTTTTAAAATAAATATGTTTCTAAACGTAGCAAAGTTCAGACCAGTACCATAAAAAGAGACATGTTTGTTTTGGCATGGCAAAATAAAATTCATTCAATCCATTACATATTTTTCACTGAAACTCAGCTGATATTAATCAATATCTTTTAATTGAAAGGGATAATAGAATTGCCGTGTTTAAATTATTCACTCTGCTCACTCACTTGCAGCACTTTTGTATTTTTAAAGATTCTCTATATATGTCTATAACCTCGTCTCGCCCCCTTCATTATTTGTTCTATGAATATCGAATTAAATATTTTAATATTAAATCATGGTTATCCTTACTAATATTATAAATGCGAAAGTAACTCTGTCTGTCTGTCTGTCTGTCTCGCTTTCTCGCAAAAATTACTGAACAGATTTAAATGAAAAGAAAATGAAATTTGGTACGCAGATAGTCTAGACTCCGAGGAAGGACATAGGCTACTTTTTAATGCGAAAAAAGGGTTGTAAGGGGTTGAAAATGGAAATACAAGGTTGTCTTTATGCGGTTGAATACATATAGTGTTGTACATATATGTCATTTTTATAAGCAGCGCGCATGCGAAGTTGCGCGCGCAACTGATTATTGTCAATCCGTTGTCTCCTTATAAATTTAAATATATAAACGTTTGCTCTGCAATTTTATTTAATAAATACATAAATATAATCCTGGTACCGCCTATAACTGGTGACCCCGCTCTTGGACAAAAACGTAAGAACATATTCATATTTTTGAAGAATAAAACGACATATAATATTAACAATTTTGTAGATATATATTTGAACATGTCCTTGTAGGAAACAACACCTACCGAGCTATTCAGGGTCGGAATACGCGTTCAACCCTTCTGGCCAGAAGAGTCAGAGATATGGTTCGCGCAAGTAGAGTGACAGTTTGTAATTTCGAAAATCACATCTATTGATTTATCAAAAATTTATTAAAATTTTCAAAAGAAGTTAAAGAATATTTAGACTGTTTATTAAATAAAGACAACATTTAAAATTTGTAAAAATATTACCGTTCAAGGGGTAAAATAAAATAGCAAATAAAAGTTTTTATGGAGATTCGTCACATTGAAGCTAGAACTATGAAACTTTTTTCATTTGCTTTTTTATGTTAGTTTAATAAATACCGTACTGATATTATGAATGTAAAATTTACTCTGTCTGTCTGTTTGTTTCAATTACACGCCAAAACTACTGAACTGATTTAAATAAAATTTTGTACACAGGTAGTCTAGATAAATGAGTTGTAAGAGATTGAAAGAGGAGGTTGTATAGAAGTATCGTCAATTTTAAAGGTATTGTCAATTTTTTCAATGCTTGAATGTTCTTTTTTTGGCTATTGATTAAATATAATTAAGGAAAATGAGTTGTAAGGGTCAAACGGGGAGTAGAAATGTATTAACATGTAAATGCAGGTATTAACATTTTTAAAGCTTGGAAGTAATTTTTAGGCTGTTCCAAAAATATAAATATATAAAAAGGGTTGTAAGGGGTTGAAAGGGGAGATGTAAGGTTGTATGGAATTATCGTCATTTTTAAAGCTAGAAGTTTGAAACTTATTTTTTAGGCTGTTGATTGATTTGTATGAAAATTCATTTCTGAAGGTAGGGCAATGAAACTTTTTTATTGGGTTAAATTACTAAATATTTTGCTCTTATTTGGTCAAGGTCACTATTTTACGCGGACGAAGTCGCGGGTACAGCTAGTAATACTATAAACTCACATTTTTCCTATGGAAAAGTTTGGAATGAGGATGGGAATGACGAATATGTTGTGGAGTCCCCCACTGTAGGCCTCCCACAGCTCCTGCCGCCCCTGGATCTTCTTCCGCTACGGATTGCAGTTGCTCCTCTGCAAATCATTCACAATATGAGTACATAATTACAGATGACAAAGTTATCACGACGTAAAAGATGATTCGATTTTGTATATAATCCTCAAATGTATTCGTATGAAAGAGAAGGAAATAGACTCGCTTACTCTTTCTAACCTTGTGTCAAAATGTCCTTTAATAATACATTTAAGGCTAGCAAAATCATAACTTGCTGCCTTTTTGTATTTGTTTAGAAAGGTGGGTAGGTACTTTTAAAAAATGTGACTATGTCTAAATATATTTTAATAAACCAACCTTTGATAACCTTCTTAATGTAAGGGTCCAAATTGATTGTGAAAGGCAAGAATATCTTGAGGTCAGCAGCTGTAAGCGTGGTACGGTGGAAACTTAGGAATACTTCCAGTTTACGTTCGTCTCTGTCCAATTCCATCAATGTGCTTGCCTCCCGTAAAGCACTTATCATGGGCTTAACTCTGTGATAATAAATAAATAAATTAGACTGTATTTGTTACGACATATCACTTGAAATAGAGTATCGACGTCAACTTGTATAATATTATGATAAAGTAGTTTAGATTAGCGGTGGGTAACGCGCGGCTACAATGGTCATGTAGTCTGTGACATTTCTTAAATGACACTCTTATTTTTATCACGTATACTAATAATTTTATTACTAATCTAAAGAAATTATGAATAGTTTTTTTGTTTGCTTGGTTGATCGCGATAATCTCTGGAAGTACTGGTTTGAATTTAAAAGTTCTTCAGTTTTGGATAGACCGTTTATCGAGTAAGGCATCACGCTACCCTCAATAAGAGTGGAGCATTAAGAAAATAAAAATTAATTATTTTTCACTTTTGACGCAGATAAAATTACACGGGATCGCTAGTAGATTATATTATAGACATCTATTGTAAAAATATAAAAGAGTGCAGCTCGCCTTACTACTCTTTGTGCCACTCATTGGATCCTTCAGGTCCCAGTCTGGCAAAAGTTAGCGACCGCTGGTCTAATTATTCTAATCAAGCTAATAGTGATTTTCAATAACGTAAACATAGTATTACTTCTCATAGAGATTTTTGAGTGAGGTCGAATCGTCGATGTGCTCCTCATAAGTTTCGTGATGGTAGATGAGCCATGAAGTGCGGAAAGGCCACTGCTCGGTCAGGTTGACCCACGATGCTAACTGGTACCAGTTGAACTCGATTTGGAACGCTTTAAGAAGACGACCTGCAATATACATTGGGTAGTAGTTATACATTCTTCCTTTTACTATTAATAAATATGTTTTCAGCGTTTAATAAGTGAACATTTCTTCGTTACCACCATTTATCAGTAATCAGAAAACCCTATGCTTAGTTTAGATGGCGCTATGCGATTGCACGTGGTATAAAGATGGTGGTGTTATGGTTGCAAAATTACAGGATATCGAGGCATGACATCTTATCTTCCTAGGTAGCAATGAATAAGGCATACCCACGGGTATTATAGGATAGCGTGAAGTCCATGTACTACTTCTTACTATTTTCCATCAGGTAGTCAGTTAGCTTGTTTGTAATATCAGTCACATATTGCTCGTACCATATACTTCTCTAGAAGGAGAAAACATAGAAATCTTTCGGTTCAATTACATATTTATTCTTAACATTCCATGGATAAACTCCGAGCAGAACACGACACTTTTAACAGGGGTTAAAGAAAAAAGATTGTGAGTAAATACATAAAACCGTAAGTCGTAAGCGATAAGTAGGGATGTAGCGTCACGGACCGGTGATGTAGAGGACGTTCATGAGGCGGCGCATGCTGCGCGGGTTGACGTCGCTGAAGTAGTCGTCGGTGAGCAGCACGCGGCCGAGGTCTGCGGCGCCGGGCGGCGCGGCGCGGTGCAGGCCGGACGCCACCGACGACGCCACCGACTCGGACGGCCGCAGCCGCCGCGCGCGCGCCGCCACCACGCTCTCCTTCGGCTGGCCCTTGATGCGCTCCTGGCTCGACATCAGCTCCGACGTCGACGACAGCCGCCGGGCCGACACCTGGGGAACGACCCGCGGTAATACATCCCGTAGACTACTTTACACCGGCTCCGACCACTCCTGGTTAACTAATTTGTGACGCCGACTTTCCGAAGGGCCGCTTCGAAAGATATCTGGTGTATCATGTCATTCTTGACCTGGGACAATACCTATGATACGTTATGGCAAAAAATATTATTTATTTATTTCAAAGCTTTTTCGATATTAAGTCAAAATAAGATAAAATAATAAATATTTTAAATAAAAAATACGGCGAATTAGGTAATTTTTTAAATCTATCAACAAAAAATCCAAAAACTTGGTTATTCGAATTTTTGACATATTTTTGTGGTTATTTGAAAAAAATGTAAATACAAGTTTTAGTTCTTCTGAGAACTTACGTTTTAGAACTTTTTCAATTTTAGTTGAATTCTCTTCCTTTTCAAATAGAGTCATTTTACAATTTTTTTTGTTTAAATAATTTTCGGCGCTGGTTTATAATCTAACTAGCCAAGAGCTCCAGTTATGGTAGTCGAATTTAATTGTGTGCTATAAGATACCTACTAGTATGCTATTAGTAGTAGTTAATTACTATATCGAAATGATGTTTATTGTACAATCAATCGCGATAATGCTACTCACAGATCTCTGCAGAGAGGTAGAAAAGTCGTCAGCGTTAATGGCTTGCATGCGCCGCGTGGCGGCTTGCTGAGCGATCTTGACGCGACGCAACGCTGAGTTCTGTAGGTAGAATGGCAGCTGCACCATGTTCCGTAGGTAGTCCCACCCGCCAATGTTGCTCTCGGATAACGCGCGACGACTGTTTATTTCTACTGCCTGAGTAATGTATAAATTATAATAAAAATACATAAAGTGTATAATCAGATAAAAATAGATTTATATATTAATTCTTATGGCATCGATACAGTACAGAGTTACACGTCATTTAGAATATGTCAGTATTTTTAGTTGAACACACATACTTGTGCTTTTATTAAAAATGTGGCATAAAATTATTATGAAATTCCTTATAAATAATTAAGAAGGCCACCATTGTAAGCTGCATTATTTTTATTCTCATTAGTATAATTGCTAGATATCAATATTTTACTACATTTATCGTCAACAAATATAAGTATAAATATTTTTAACGGGTAAAAGAAAATTCAATTACATAAATTCAAGAAATAATACATTAATACTTATTAATTAATACATCTTATAAATACATATTTACATCATGGCACACATGAATCATTCATGCATTGACTAGACAGACCTCAACAATAGTTTCACATAGACAAAGGGCTTTTACAGAGGGGCTTCACGCTGCTCAAATGTGGATATTATTATAAAAATTGGACACTATTGTAGAAAACCGCCCCTTTTTCCTTCCAGTACCAGTAATTTTAAACAGTGGAAAACATAGTACATATAAAATATAGTAATGAGATATTTTATATTAACAAATGTATGTATGAAAACGACAGTAGATGCGATGTATTTGTATTTTTTTTCATATAACTTTTAATGTGTACGGTTTACGAGATTTTACGCAATGTTAGCATGAACAGTATCAATGTGTATAAAATTATACATACGATCTACGTTGCTATTCAGTAACATATTTTACATCAGCATCCGCTCATCATCTGCTTCTTCCTTATCCCATTTATTTGGGGTCGGCGTAATATGTTTTTCGCTTCCATTCATCCCTGTTCGCAGTCATCGCGTTATTTGCTTCCTTTCTTACCATATCATCTTTCACACAGTCCATCCATCTCTTTTTCGGCCTTCCACTGCCCTTATAACCATCCACATTCATATGTAACACCTTTCTTAAAATATTATCCTCATTCCTACGCATTACATGTCCATACCATGATAGACGATTACTCTTCAACCTCTCTGACACCGGTGCCACTTTCATACTTCCTCTAATGTATTCATACTTTACAATTTCAACATATTTTACAATTTAATACACCATTAGAGAGAGCAGTATAGTGGTTAAAATGATCGAGACCCACATTTGTGCAGCATGAAATATACTTATTCCAAGCGAACCGACCAGTCAATAAACACAACAATCATGCAGGATATAAACGACAAACAATAATATTTATAGCAACCGACTGTTTCAATTAAAGTCGCATAAGCGACTCAAAAAATCTACGTGCACATGTAGTACTTACTAAAAATACACGATTTAATATCAATTGATCGATTTACTGATTATTTTAAAATGGTAAGTAAATCTTCATCATCACCATTATCATCACATAGTATAAAATAAAGTCGCTGTCGCTGTCTGTCTCTATGTATGCTTAAATCTTTAAAACTACATAACGCGTTTTGAAGCCGTTTTTTAATGGATAGAGTGATTCTAGAGTAAGGTTTATATATATAATACATGTACACCCGTGCGAAGCCGGAGCGAGTAGCTAGTTTATTCATAAAATAAGACCGTTACGAATATAATAGCATAATTTTTACTACCATAATTTTCTAACTTACCATAGTTTACCATAATAACACACATTTGAACTACGTTAAAATTTTGTACAAGTGTGCTTCACGGAAGATTCGATTTCGGTCGAAATAGAAACAAGTCCAAATTCGGCTTCGGAAGTACGCGGTTGGACATTGAACTTTAAATTATTATCCTTTCCAACTGAGTATGAGTGAGTACCTAATGCCCGATCGTCTTTTGATACTATATACATATATGTATGACTATATAGATATAGGTATCGGAACATTTAGTAGTTTAACATAACAATTTTGTGTAATTTTGAGGAGAATATAGTATATATCAAACAATCTTACAAAAAACACAGTTTAATATGTTCATAAACAGTTATTAGGTGCAAGTATCTAAAGTGCAATTTCTTTAGAGTTCCACCTGTACTTGACAATTTTCAACTTCAAAATGCAAAGTGTAACAAGGACAAACAATAATGTCAATTAAAAATAACTGTAAACTAATATCTCTTTCATCAAACGTCAGTCGTTTACACTAGCTGGGATATAACTGGGCTTATATTGCGTTAAGACAACGTTAATAAATACCTATAAGATTTTTCTAAAAATGAAAAATAAATATACTAGCCTTTTCATAACATGACCTATTATTTACGTGTAATATTAAAGTACGACAAAAAACGATATGTGTGAAGGTATACTCCATTCCAATAAGAAAATAAAGAGGTCGTTAAACCGACTACCATATACAGACCAAAAGCATTACGAATCAAAAACAATAATATACACAATCCACTGCCGCAGTGGCTACATAATGCGTAAAACGTGATAAGATCTCTACATCCTTTAATATTACATATAAATTGTCATATAGGTAAAAACAGAATATAGTACAAGGATTTTATAATTGTAACACGAAATTCCATTGAACACTCTGGGCTTATAACTGGCCAATGTAAATATAACTAACCTCCATCCATGCAACCTGCACATTACATAAAATATATTTAACATATGTTATTACATAAATTAAAAGTAATACTTTAGTATAATTACATTAAGGATAGATATTCATAATTTTATACAGACATATATGTATAAATATGGATAGGACACTATCTACTAACTAAAGTCTTGATTATTTTAACTTTATTACGGTTTCTTATATAGTCAAGTTAAAGAGGATATGAGTACAAACGTAAAAACAATTTTACACTATTATGAAGTAATTTTATATCATAAACTATGTTCTTATTTATATGAATATATAAAATATACATTATATTTAAATAAAGATTTTATGACGCCACATTACAATAAGCCAATATGCTTGGATATTTGATAAATATGTAAAACAATGTTTTTGTTATATACCCATATATGATTTTGTGTTTATTATTGATCTCAAAAGTAATTTTATAGTGAAATCATAAAATAACAAATTGAAAATATAAATGTAAAAATATATAAATTAAATATTAACTAAACGGGTTAATAGCAAATACATAAAACTATGTACTTTTTACTTGTATTAAAAACAAGAACATAACTTTGATTTCTCACCTTGCTGATGATATGTGGATCTATCGCCAAGAGTAGTATGAATGGACTCTTGGGATCTGAGCAGAGCGCATGAACGGCATTCAATAGAGCGAGCACTTTCTCTTGTTCGCAGCTGTCCAGCGCGTCCACGACAACCACCAAACGCGTCTGTTGTCCAGTGAACGCGTCTAGACATGTAACCTGCAATTAAGATTTTAGAATAGAATCGTTCTTCAAAAGACTAAAATTTTATGTCAAAATATAAAAGATATAATAGAGATAGAATTAAAAGAAATGGTATTTTTAGACACGGTATATTATTTAATTATTCAGATTCAATACATGTTGTCATTGATAGCACACCACTTAACTACCGATGGTCGCGGATGAATTCCTCGCATGGATCAAACATTTGTAGTCAAAAGTGTGATTGTTTGTATCCATTTGGGTGTGATTTGTCCAGGAATATTGTTATTATCTTAAATCATAATATGTATATCGTGTAATAAATATAATAATTATTTACATTGCGAGCAATAGTTCGTACTGCTGAAAATCTGTTAAAAAGATTTTAGTAAACGTCCAGTTAAAAAGGTATTAAAAAATTATGTATATATATCGTAATATATAGCGAAGATATCCGTGGAAAAAACTGAAGTAAAACTTTGATTACTCTTTATATTGTTTGGTATTTTTATACCAGCGTTAGATTTATGCACATTTAGGTGTAACTGTCAATCTGCAAGTTGGTTTTCTTTACCGTTAGTGAGCAAAATCGGTACGAACCAGATGCGTGAGGGCCTGCACCTCGGGCCGCAGGGCGGCGGCGGAGGCGGCGGCGTGCGGGCCGCGGGCGGCGGCGGCGAGGCGCGCGCGCGGGCCGCGCAGCAGTGCGGCCAGCACGCGGCCCCACGTGTACAGGTTGGCCAGCACTGCCGCGCCGCCCAGCGCCGCCGCGCACACCATCAGCCCCTGTTGGATTTGACGCCGCCTGATCGACGACGACCCGCCCTCACTGAGTCGTCGTTTTTTCGGTTTTCGCTCGAGATCTCTCGAGTCGAGAAAAACCGAGAAATTGACGAAAAGTCGAGACGACAAATAGTAGTGGAGTAAACGAGAATTTTCTTAATTTTAAAGAGGAGTGAATATTGTGAATTGTTGACAAACAAACAGACAAATATAATTATTTAGCACGGGAGTTCTAATACGTCTTAGCGGTGTAATGTTTTAGCGCAATACTGTAATTTCGGATGGTCGCGGGTCTCAATAATGCACGTGTAATAATAAACTGCATTAACTAGAAATGAGACTCTTGGAAAATACGACTTAAAAGTTTAAAACTTATAAGTTGATTTTACAACATTTTCGAGTTATAAGGTGCAATTTTCGATTGAAATTTGGATTGTGTATAGATAATTAAAATGTCTTCTTACTGTTGGTTCTCTTCTTTGTCAGTGAGGTACATGACGAGCACGCACAATCCTATCAGCACGCACGTGAAGCACAACTCGAATGTTACTATGTATGGAATGCAACACATTCGGCGCCATCTGAAACAAAAAAGAAAGTTTTATTTTAACCAGTTATAGTCACGCATTATACGACGGTTTACAGAATTGAAAAAATTGTTTGTAGATAAAATTCAAAATATCCTATATGCATAATATATATATATATGCGTGGCCCATTAAAGACATTTAAGACAAGTCCAATTATTACTTACAATTAATCTACAGTGTATATATTTGATAGTATAACGTAACGTAACGTAATAGCTAATGCATCGAGAAACAAATCTTAAGTCTAATCTTACATGACAAAGACAATAAACAAAAATTAAATCGTGGCCGGCCCTGCTTCAACGTGACTTAATAGATTCAGCTCAATTAAATAAATTCATTAAACAAAGTTCACTATTATTGAATCCTAGCAAGATTGCCCCAATCGTAGTATGTAAAAATATCTAGAAATGCTAAAACCCAAACCATGCACTTATTTTCTTTCTTTCGTTCAAATGATGCTCAAACTTATAATTTAAATTAATTATGGTCGAATATCGATCACTGTGAAACACCAGTTAATGTAATATATATTATTTGATATATATATTGCTACTTCCATTTATTATTTTCAAGTTATTTACTTAATCGCACCGCCTACTAAGTAAAAAGAGGTTTTGCCCTATGGTTGACTGGGAGAAAATGCCTTAAGGTGTCAAGTCCACCATATGCACCATTACTTTTGTATTTGTACATTAAAGCTGTAATAAATAAATATACAAACTTCCAGCCGGAGGTAGCGGACACTGGCTTGGGGCGGAAGGCCCTGGTGAGCCTTGTGCACAATCTTCCGTACTGGCACTCGAGCGCCTCCCCGAGGCTGGCCAGCATCTGTACCACCATCGCCTCGCCCTCCTGCCCACCACCGCCCTTCATGCCCTCCGTGAAGTGGAACCTTAGTTAAATCATTTTTGTATTTAAGATATTTCATATTAGTATATTTATTTTTATAGAGATAATTTTAGTGTTACACGCACGTGACGTGATTGTAAGAACTTATAATTTAGAAGACTTATTTGATTAAAATGACAATCTACAGTCATAGTTATATAACGGGTAACATGCCATAATATACAGTGGAAGTATTATTATACATATGGATTATAGAAACTGGTAGTTTCTATAATCTATATGTATAATAATAAACTTAACAATTGTATAAATAATAAAAATTATACCTGATAGGTGTGGCGGGTAAAGCCCTTGGATCATTAGGACCAGGAGGGTGGCAGAATACCACTTGCAACACCAACAGCAGGGAATTGAATCTCTGTCCTAATGCAGATAACACGCCGCCCGCCCACCACCACTCATATCTGAAAAATAATTCCCGCCATTGAATTAAAAATCATAATTTAATAATAACAACGAGTAATAAAGTTAATTTTATTAGTTTGGTTTTATTATTATATATGAATTTTTATTTTTTATAGGAGAAAACCTTATTAAAATCGGTCAAATATTTTTTTTTATTCATTACAAAAACACATATATATGATATAATGTCAACGTGTGATATTAGTAGTATTTCTAATGCATTACCTATATATAATTAATATTACTATATATATTATAAAATCTAACTTTGGAGACGTTGCGGACTGCGTTAATGAACGCTTTAAAATTAAACATGTGGTTATTTGTGGGTATTTCTTTACCAAGAAGTTTGTTTTGTAAGCTGTTTAGGTTGAGAGATGAGATGACGCAGTGACAGCAATTTTACTGCCCTTGTCACCTTTCCCATCTACGTAGAAGATGCTATTACATGATTATGCCTCCATATTGTTTATACACTATGTACCATCAGGTGGCCCACCTGATGGTCATCAGCATTACTGTCTAAATGACATAAGTGAAAGGGAAGAATCCCTCGTTTCCAAAGTACCAGAGCGGGAAGAGGAGGGTCATCGTTATGGGGGGCGGGATGTGGAGGTCGGCGAAAATTACGACTCAGCACCGGGTGGGCCGTCAGCATATTTAACATTTATTTTCCATAGAAGAAGGTGAGCAACCACTAACTTGTTTCCCAGGTACCAAAGCACGTATAGCGCGAGGTATATGGCGAGGAAGAGCGCGAAGAGGAGCGCGAGCGCGGCGGGGGGCGGCGCGCCGGCCAGCGCGGCCAGCGTGGCGGCCGCCACCGCCACGTGCCACGCCGCCCACCACACCGCCCACGACCACGACCACCCGCTCTCGCACCACTGACGCGCGAAGTTCTTCATCTCCTCTGCGGACACCACACGACACTGCAGTCTAACACCAAGCTCATCTGCTACTAGCCGACCCATGCAATACATTTCTCATTGCTTGTATTGATCGCTTGCATTGGTCGTAGTGTGATTACTTAAGTCCGGCCGTTCAGAGATTGCATTTCGAACAGTTCGGGATCGAGTGGAACGGGAATAACTTTTGACTGACGTATAATTTACGGCAAATCTTTTAATTGCCTTAACTAATTAACGAGTGATAATAATAAATAATTATTCCAACTTAAATTAAACGTATTCATTTTGGGCTAAAATTATTAATAATTAAATACTTAACAAATATAAAAACGATAGTTTTGAAAAGACAAAACATTTCAAACTACACTGTTTGAAACCCGTGACCATTGAAAATAAATCGGTGTACTAAACCGCCATACCACCGAGGCCGTCGTAGATATATATATGACTTACCCTTGAGTTTGTTGAGCAAAAACGACTTCCCGGACCCCCACCTGGCGTACAGACCCACGGTTATGGGCACCGAGAGGCTCGGCTCGGACAACATGTCCGCCAGCGCCGCGCTGTACAACTCGTAACCCAACAAGTTCTCGTTATCCTCGTTGGTGTTCAACTTCCGGGCGCCGAATATTTGGCCCAGTATTGTCTTGTTGTAACTCATATCTATGTTGTACGGCGTCTCATTCATTTTGTTCGGCTTATACAATAACTGACTATTCTTTGGATTTCTAAGCAGAATTTCTACTATTTGCTGAAATAGAAATATTTTGTTAATTTAGAAAAGGTCTTCAATAATTATAACATCACGTCACTATTAGATGACGAATATTATATATTGCTAAGAAACTTTTTCATTTCAAACATTTGAAATAACTCAGCGATTATAAAATAAAGTAACTGAATTTGTCCAAATAAATGTTAAATTATGAACATTACTAATTTAGGACTTTCGAATTCGACTTTCATGATATTCATGTAGGTCTTATGATATGTTAAATTTACTCGGAGGTCTTATGATATGACTAATTTAGTTCGGAGTACTATCGAGCTAAGAAGAACTGACAAGAAACCCAGCTCTTATTTTTTTCAAATGTGCTTTTATATGTTTCCAAAAATATTTTAAAACTCAATTAAGGAGAATAGCGTGGCCACCGCCATATTTTATTACAATTTTGTTAATTACCTTAGAGCGTGCTCTCATTGCTATGTGTAGCGCGGTGTCGCCGCGGTTATCGGCCACATTGACGCGCGCCTTCCGTTCTAACAGCAGCTGGACCATCTCGGCATTACGCGATCTTACTGCGCGCATTAATGGCGAGTCACCACTCTGATAAACAAAACATGTTTGCTAAAAATATTTTTACATTTGAACAGTTAAATTAAATAATATTTCTTGGGTTCAATTTTTAGACTAATGTTAATAAAACAAAAACAAAAAGATATTGGAACACGCAATAACAATTAAACAAAAGTGTATATATATGCGTATGTGTCGAATACATAATTGTGTGTAATGTTTTTTTTATGAATAATTTAACAAAAATGCAATTTTTGTTAAATTATCTGCTCTCCTCTATATATATTATAATTGTTCATACATTAGGGGTTACATAGTTACATGTTACATCTTAAATAATATTACCATTATAATATATATCTTCACGTATTTATAATACGGTATGGTATGGTAATATTATTTAAGAGCTCCTAGAATATTTGTTACAGCATCGAAATATCGATGGATTTTAATTAATGTGTTAAATATCTCATTTATATAATCAATAAGATAAATACTCACAATAGTACTATGTTCTAAGTCAGGGTTGGAAGCAAGCAACAACTTGAGTATGGAGACGTGTCCTTTTTCAACTGCGGTGTATACAGGCGTCTTCTTTTCTTTGCCGGGAAGGTCCACGTCCACGTGTTTCTTCAATAAAGCCTCCACTATGTTTTTATGGCCACCTTTCACTGCGTGTATCAGTGGTGTGTCTTTTGAGTGATCCTAAAAGTATATAAATATAAATACCTTCGTTAGATGTATACATACAGAAAACTTAAAGTAGAAAGTAATAATTAATGCAATCTTCGTATTACAATGAAAATACCGACTTCAATGCATAATATGACCAAATATATACAAATTGATATAAGCAACATATGAAGCAATAAAAAAGAATTATTATAATAAGTAAAGGTTAACACATAAAATATACACAGAAATTGTGAACCTTGTTTGATGACAGTTGAAAACATAAACAAAGAACAATAATGATCGAAGAAAAATATATATGAAATATATAAAGTTGTTAGCTTGGGATTACCCTTGGATTTTTACTTTGTCTATTAGGGGGCTTAGTTTCTAGAATTTGTTACCTTTACATTAAATCTTAAGTACTCTATAGAAAAATAATAGCATTCCTGCTTCAGTCAATGAAATATTGATTGGAAAATTATCATCACAATTCGTGTTGAAATGGAAAGAAATTGCGTAGTACTGTTTCAATTACGAAAATCCTTTATTTTAAAATCAACTACAAAGGAGTTTATTTAAAAATACGTAAAATTAATGAGTACATTCGTATACCTGAACATTAATGTAAGCACCGGAGTTAATGAGTGCCAACGCGATGTCGTAGTAGCCATCTTTACACGCGATTGCGAGCGCGGTGTATCCGTCCTTATCTAACGCGTTCACATTAGGCTTATGTTCTAGCAACATTTGTACGATCTCGAAATGATTTCCTGTAAGGATTGAAAATAATAGATATAAAGACTTAAAATAAATTTAATTAGAAGTAGACTGTAAGAAGTCGTCTGCATGAGTACCATTAGTTTACCATTCTTATTACATAAAAAAGTCGCTACATATTATAATTTAAGTATAGTAGTAGTATTTATATATGTTTTTATTGCAACTTATATAAACTCATCCATCTTATGCCAAACCTTTACTTGATATAAATGTATACGAATTACACACATATAAACAGTAGAAAAAAAATAAAGATAATAAAAACAGTGTTAACGGTACTGCAATATCATAACAATTAGGAGAAAAAGAACTAAGCTTTTCTTTTTCTCCTAGTATTATATTTATAAGGAAACAAAGAACAATATCAACATCACCATCTTATTTAATTTTGTGTTTAACATATCATTAATCATTAGCTACTCATGTTAGTGTTTTCAGATAAACTTGGCCCATTGACAAAACTGTGTTTCTTTGTAATTTGGATTCATTGTTACGCGCGAATAGAGAGCTTTTACAAATTACAGTTATAAAAAAAATCGAAGGCAACTTACGTATATTTTTCCGTATTTTTCGCATATAGACTATTTTCTGTTTTTTCTGTGATTTCATGATCAAGACAGCAGTTGTCTTTATGTACTTAAAGTTACAAACTTATAAGAGTGAATCAACCGGGCAAAGTTTCTGAATCGAATACCATATTTTGTTTATAGTTTGTTTATAATGCCAAATTCCCAAAAACTCGTTCTTGATATATTCATGACATGTGAGACGTAACATCGCAAAATGATGTAACCGATATCTTTCTGACTTTTCCTTAAACATTGTATAATTTGTTTATAATAAATTAAACAATTAAAATGCCTTCTATAACGTCAGCGCTCGGCTACGAATAAGAATATATAATCGCAATACATAATTATTTCTTAATAATTACTATAAAATATAATATTCATCTCACAATTTTATAGAAAGAGCAATATATTGAGATTCAGTAGTATGTATTTTTTTCAGTCGTCTTGGGACTATAAGATACTGTGTGAATTGACCAGAGTTATTAATATTTTTATTAGAATTATTACCGATATACACACATACAGTACTAGATTTTTAAATATTAATCATAGGCTGTATAGCTATATACGATACGTATATATTTATTTACTATTTATTATTCTGTATTGCATCTGAAAAATACAACAATCAAAATTTACAGATTTATAGAAAAAGATAATTACGCAGTATGAAGGTACAAAAAATGGTCTTATCGTTTCCAGACAACCTTTGGGTCGGAGATAAGAAGGTGGTGTTTTCTGTCATGATTACTGTAAACGTGGTGTAAGATGTGCTCACCATGGGAAGCTTGCAACAGGGGCGTCCAGCAGTACATGCCCGCGGTGTTGGGGTCTGCGCCGGCCCGCAGCAGCGCCGTGCAGGCGGTGACGTCGCCGGCACGCGCCGCCCACGTCAGCGCCGACGTCGCGTACTTGTCACACGAGTTGGCGCGTGCGCCCGCGCTTAACAACCGCTGCACAACTCCACTGTGCCGACGACCCGACGCCCATACTAGCGAACTAAGATAATATTAAAAACATAAATAAAAATATTTACAAAATGTTTATTTTCTTTAAAAAAAACAATTTAATTACAATAATACTGTGTTGGGATAACTTAATAAGCATAGCAATGCTTGTCTGAGGTATATCCCGCTCTTTTACATCCATTGCCATATATGTGTTTAAAAGGAGAAATTTAAAAATACTAATTAATGGCTAACGGCTGAAATAATTGTCTTGAAATCATACATACAATCATGCAGGCTGACAAAGCTTCTGTAAGCTATATTTATGCGTTTATTTTTCTTTTAAAGTCGTAGGAATATACTTGTATATAGATAGACAGATAAAAATTTTATTTGCGTTTACGTTTAAGATGCCTTTGGATATCGTATTATAAAGAAAAAAGATGCAAAGAAAATAACAACTACATTGGCCAGTTAATGATATATAATATAGCTATAAAAAATGTATATATATATGAAAATATGTCATATGTATAAAAACTAATGCGCAATGTCATATGGAGGTAAAGTATTCGTTAAATAAATCACAGAATAACATGACTAAAAGGAAAAATACTGATTAAAGAAGAGTAATAAAAAGAGTAAATGTAGCATTCACATACGAATAGATACAAAAATTAAGGATGAATGCCTGGCAGATATACCCATTAAACGCAAACCGGTAAATTACGTTATATATAGTTATACATTCGTACACTGGTGTATCGTAACCATGCAAAATGTACCTACTCCATACTCTCATAGTAAGAGATAATGATGATCCTCTGATCAATCCCACGTCTAATTCAAACAGGGATCGAAATTTCGAAGGCCTGAGCCGAGGTTCATATCCCTAGTGGTGTTATCAGAGTAAACTTGTATCTATTCTCTTTTTTACAATGTTATACATATTTTTCCTTTTCCAATAATCCTTATAAGATTTCAATAGCAAATAAAAAGAAAAACCTGTTATTTATGGCCACGTAAGTAACATATACTACTTTTTTATGTGTAATTCACATAACATGTTGCGTTAGATAGGAATTTGATCATTTTCCTTTTCATGTTAGTATACAAAAATCCTTTCATTAAAAATTATAATCAATGAAGACTAACATAACCTGTTATTTATTGTTGATGTATGTAAATTGTTGTACAACTTTTTGCGCGCATAAGAACAAGTTAGGGTGGATATATACCAACGTCATTTGAATGTAATATTACAGGAAAGTATAGTAACTATTCTAGCTTTTAATGCAATTAGCGAATGCATTGGTTTCTAACTGTAAATATTCGAGAAGAGAATTTAAAAGAAAATTTGAAGTTCTAAATTCTTATTCTTCTATTTCATTTCATCCATTATATTCGATTTAGGTGCAAATAAACATATAAAAAGATATTTATTATCAATTTTCACGTAACATCTCAGTAATTATTGTAAATGTGAGTGAGTGCTATATTTTGTGTGATTTTAATGATTACTTTACGAAAATATGCATGCTTGACTGATTTTCACATAATCTTGATTGAATTTACGATTGGCGGCGCACGCTGTATTCTAGATTATCATTTTTTTTCTTGTTCACTCGAGGAATGCTGCAGATTAAAACTAGTATAAAAATGACAGATGTGCGAGTATAAAACACGAGATGAAACAATGATCGCCTCGGTGTTAGGCTTAGCACACCGCCTTACTTCCGATGGTTTCAGCTTCGATTCCTCGCACTGCACAAACAATTGTATTTATGAGTATCATTGTTTGTATTGATCTGGCTGTTTTACTATATACATTATGGATGTATTTTCAATAAAAAGGTTTTTAAGTATTTATATACCAGTTGTTTAGTACCTACAAGACAAGCTGTATCTAGTTAGTTTGAAACTATATAGCGCTCAGTGAATTGTGCTGGGGTTTTTATTATTATATTGTACACAATAATAAAATACATAGCATAATTTATTAATAATAAGTAAAACCGTAACAGAATATGTTTTACGAAAATCAACAATCAGAGACACAACAAACAATTGCGTCAATAGATTCCCCAAACAAATTATATACTGACGCATAGAGGTAAAACAAAGAGCTTAGTCCTAATTATTATTACCTGGTAGTAACATTTATCATTAAGTCTGTCATTTTCAACAAAAGATTGGTTTTATCAGTACGACATAGTATTGTACTGTTCGAAATAACAAGAGATAATTAAATATAACATTAACATGTTTGTTCTACCGTCACCTTCGAATAATAGTAGTTTTTCTTTCTTTCTTTCCTAATAGTAAGAAGATTATACGTCAGATTGGAAAGGGACTATTGGACCTTATATGGAACGTATCTTGTTTCTTTATAACGGATGGATATGGATCTGTGCACTTCTCTGTGCTAATGGTATACGTAAGAAAACTTCCGCGGAGAAAGAAAATATGAGGAAAAATTGAAATATATGGCGAATTCTCCACGATTTAACAATTATAGCTAATAGGGAAGGTCGCGTGGAGGTCAACCTGACCATTACTAACAATGCCGTCTCAATCCCTAACATAACCTGTCCAACTCTACGCAGAATCCATTAATGAATGATAGTTTTTTGAGTATAGTCCCGATCATAAGCGCAAGCGCATTCATAATCATCCGGAATATTATAGATTTGTGTATAATTATGTTGCACAGTATCAGTTAGCATTGCTAACATAACTATATTTATTTGATTAAGTTGATTGATACATACTTTATATTGTAGTTGCCATGTGCGTGTACGTCAGCTCCCTTCTCCAAAAGCAGTGCTACCACATCTTCATGTCCTTTATAGGATGCCCACATTAGAGGAGTCCATCCACCCTGTTAAATAATAAATAAAAAATGCATATACATAACTAATTGTTATAAATAATTATACACTACTTAATTTTTATATGAACACACAGTTCTAATATTGTTGGCTATAATTTCATTAATTTACGATTGATCAGTCATTTCAAAACAAATTACTGTCAGATACTAGATATAGTAATTCAAGGTTTCTAAAATTCAATTACATTTGGTTTTGCATACCCTAGATGCCGGTGTAGTACATTGAGAACGTAACTATCCATGACCTCATTAACTGGATAATTTTAAATAGTATAAAGTCTTAGCTAATTAAGATTGTTTAGACTGTTAGTCAGAGCATAGTTTGAAGCGATTTGATTAAACATACGTACTTATATGATCCATTTAATTGATTATAGTACATATGTAGGTATTCTATTTATGTAATGACCTTATCTTTCTCTTCGCTCACTGAACTTGTTTATATTGAGATGTTTTGTATCAGAAGGGATTCATCCCACACACATGATAAATGTGAAAGTCTGTGAAGACATTCCAACGTTTCTTATTCAATCACGCATGAACCCCTAAGTGGATTTGTATGACATTTGGCACAGATACAATAAATATTACAGTTTACTACATTTTTATTTCGAGCGTTACCATATAGTACTGATATATAATAAAATCAATCGTAACAATGGAAACCAACTAATTACATTATACCATATAAATATATTAGAACGAATTAGGATAATTTTACCAAAATAATTATTTTATAATTCAAGATCTAAAGGATTATGATATACATACAAAACGAGCTAATACTTCGTTTAGTTTTTTTAGCTAAAAGATAGCTTGAATGTCTTAGGCTAGTAATCTATATTCAGGTTATAAATAGAAAAACAAAATTTGACATTTAATGAATAATTTATATTTAATAAATTATTGAACAATTCTTATTCATTTAATATTATACAGTATGGATATAAATAACAAAAAAAAGACTAAAAGTGGATTAAACTCAATCATGCATTAAAGATATCAACACTAAAGATTTAAAAATTGTTCCATAATTGTTCCAAAACGTACATTTCAAACACATTTAAGAATGTGTCACTCAGGCTGTTCGTCACATCTTGGCAGAGATCCACTTAAAGTATAAATACACTAAATTTTGTGTACACAATCCAGAATACATTTTGGTCATTGCTCTACTATAAATATTTGGGTCAGACAAGCGCATGTGCATTTTACTATGACTAATACATAAAGGGGTAAATACTATTTCTTAAATTTCAATGGCAACATAACATGATAAGACAATAACAATCTCTCTACTTTTTAAAAATAGAAGGGTTAAATCTTATTTTTAGAAGAAACGATACAGCGGATTATTGACAGACTGCAATGTAACTCATGCATAAAGAAAATGTGTAATTATGAAGAATTAACTGTTTACTGTCTATGATCAGTAAATTACGGTGAAAACAAGAAACGATCTATAATTAATAAGAAGTACAATGAACTTAAGTATAAAATTCCAGTGATATCATTAAATAAATTGGGGATAATCGTCTGACACAAAGTATTTCCGAGAGCATTTTTAAAATACTATAATGATTCAACATATATTTCTTTCCACATAACTAAATGTAATGAATAAGTAAAGACTAAAAATAATTCTGAACATAAACAACACAAAAATAATCTGCCAACCATTCATGCAGTTGTGTGTGTCTCGCCAATACAAATGTCCAATATATTATTGTTGTTTAAACAAAGATTTCGAACGCCTTGAACAAATATAGTTATCTCTATATTATTATAAAATGTGAATGATGTATATAAATCCGACCGGTAAGTTATGTTAAACTGAACAAATTTCTTTATGGAACGTGGGTTGTATTATGATACAACAGATATTTGGAACAATTTATACCTGTATCTAAACTGCGCGGGGTTAAAATGAATAGTTTAAAAAATATTGAGAAACGCTATTCATTTTAAAAAATACAAGGACTATCTTTCATACCGTCATACATCTCTGTTACATCTTGTATTTATGGTAAAGTACCACCACTCAATCAGTTTCAAAAATATAAAAAAAAGTATAAATTAGAAACATTTCACCGATCGAGATCAAGTAGACTATAATTTTTGGAAATTTCCACCGAAAGATGACTAAACAAATACCGCGTAGGCGAAGCCGCAGTGTTTACTTCTAATAAATATATAATTAGGTATAGCTGTACAATAATTAGAGTCGACAAATGATGACGAGAATAACTATAATTTGCTCACACAGTCTCTAGAGTCGACGTGTACGCCGGCGTCGAGCAGTTCCTTCACGACATTGAGGTGTCCACCGCGGGCCGCGAATGCCAATGACGTCCAGCCATCGGCATCGCAGGCGCATGCATCCGCACCAGCGGCCAGCAACGTCCGAACCGCCGCCACGCGACAGTTCTCGCTCGCGCACATGAGCGCCGTTGTTCCATTCTGTGTAAAAAAACAAATATAGGTATACTTCTTTAACACCATTACACAGATTTTGATACGTTATATTTATACTTGGTGAAAGAATTGTTGTATTAGAAAGTAAATGATCAGTTAGGATCTGATCAGAAAGAAATTAAATAGAAAACTACCGAAAGATTGGTTGAAATATCCTTTATAGCATAGAATTTTTTAATTCTATATTAAATTTCTAAGGATTCGAAATACTGTGACTTTAATAAGTTTTTTTAATAATATGTAGAAAATTATAGCAATGTAGTAACAAGTCAGGATTATGCCTTACAACTTTTTAAAATAAACAGTAACATCGAGTCGGTCAATTACAAAGAAATGTGATCATTCTCTTTAAGACCACAACTTAACATACTTAGTCACAATTCTCTGAAATAATTATTATTTACTTCTGTATCAAAATTTGTAATGATTAAATCATCAGTAACAATCCATGATCGTTATTTTCCAGTAACGCAGTAATAACTATAAATAACGGTAACTGATATGATAAGATTACGTAGACATGTATAATAATAGTTATAGTATATAACAATAATATAGCTGACATTATTACTAGTACATGATTAATAGAATATGCTTTTACTTTTCATGTAAACATAGATCACAGACAGACCACTTGTCTATACTGTCCATTAATGTATTTGATAAATTCTTATAATAGTAATAATAAAGAATTATATAGTATAACATATCAATGACTAAAAAATAAAATAAAAAAAAATCACACATCTTTAAAATAAAAAGCCAGATGGGCATACACTCGTATGCCAGTGATATTAAAAAATCTAGTTAATAAAAAGAAGCCGTAGATGAATCCTCTCCGTCTTCCGGAGTGGTAACTACTTGAGTGGTAGTATTGGTCTCTAACCATATTAGTGTCTTTTATTATGTCTGTTTTGTGCTTGTCTATGTAACAGAGTGGATTAGTTTTTTGACTATTTAGATGCAAATAAAATATTGTTATTATAAATAATTCCCCGTGTTCATAATGTTTTCTCTAAGATTCATATCCACAATTATATGTATGTATTTACGCTTTATTATATTATATTACTTACTTCGTCTCTGTCATCGATGTTGATGTTCTTATTGTTGTCGAGGTACTGCTGCAGTTCAGCGGTAGTGTCACTGTTTACCAGCTGCGAGAGCGTCTTAAAGCACGCCAGCGACACCATCGACTCGCTGCGGTGGAGGCTCTGCGTATTACAATGAGTGAACTTTAAATATTGCCATTGACTGGTATTTTAAATTGTTACATATCACCAATACGGTAACTTTCAGGATAAATTACTAACACACTTTTATATATTAATTTTAGGAGATTTCTGAAATTTAAATCACTAATTTTAGGAAAATATCTTATATAACATTTTTCTCATATCGCATTGATATATGTGATGTATAAATAAATATTAGGTATGATAAACAATATATTGCAGTATCAAAGATAAATGTGTTTAGATTGAATCTTTTCATTACAAATACTATGCTGAGCAACATACGTTTGTTCTTGTAAAACTATAGTATTTTTAGTACATTGTTAGTAATTCTCACAAGCAAATAATTGTCAACAAGTTAAATAAGAATATTTCATGATCTCTCAAACATAGATAAATACCGACTATAAACTTATTTAAGGTAATGAAGACGCAAAACAATCGTAGAGGTTATTATTTTTCTAAGTGTACACAGTAAATATAAAATACATTAATATACAAAAAAATACATTATTTAGTGGAAAGTAGGTATCAGCAACATGTGTACGTATGCACTTGATTTATGTGTACAAACAAGCCACGTCTATTCTTGAATATTTTTTATCTAATAACGAGAATCTGGAATAGGTTACTTGAGAATAATGCTAGGTAAAATGGTAACAGAAGATAGGAATGAAAAAAATAGGAGAAAAATATATATATGTATACATATATATTTAGTACCTATAAACATTAATAACATTTAAACTGTTATTTTACTTCATTGCCGTTTCAATATGACGGTATTTTTCGTGTAATTTTTTGCCAATACTGAACACATATCCAGTATTGATTTTGCTTGCTTGTGCTATGATGAAATTTCCCTAACCCGTTGCCACTCCTGAGAACTGATATTATGAGTTTAGTGTTATGTTATGTTAATGATACAATATTTAATACTAGTAGTATCCGGTTTAATCTGTACATTTATGCTAATAATTCGTGTATGTAAAATATGCATTAGTGTTTCACAATAAAAAGTTATCTCAATATGTGTACAATAGAATTATACAAACAATAATTATATACCTCCATCTCATTAAATTCTGCAATGCATCGTTACCTACAGATTTCATAGTATGAACGGCGAAATACGAGAAAAATACATGCGGTACTGTAATTGTCAGTAATATTGGAATGTAAAATGGTTCATGACTAAATTGATACTCTGAACACGCACTAAAGAAAATTAATGGGTTATATATAATACTAAATAAGCATCCATGTAAACACGAAAACTGAAACATAACATATGTGCAGAACAGAAAATCACACACAAATATTATACAACTAACTAAAATATTAGCACATCGTGTACTTTTGGTTATTAATAAATTATAGTGATCTCACCGGTAAATTGATTTTACGTAGGCAATGAGGAAGTGCCATCTTATCACTTACAAAATAAATATTGTAAAACCAATGAATAACTCAAACGTGCAACTGAAAAACAAACTGGAACAATATATATCAAATGCAATAACAAAATGCTAATACACAATTTGGAAAATTATATTCACAATAAATTACAATAAGGTTTATTGAAACAGAAATTTTTAGAGATATGTAAAGATGTAATAAGAATGCATGAATAAAATTATATTAGGGTGTTCTATTTGAAAACAGAATCGAATTAAAAATATATACTCTATTGAAACTGAAAATTATTAGTAAGCTTACGCACGTCACTTGGGTGTAAGCTCCAACGTAGCATATCGATAGTAAATTAATGTATACTAGTTTATATATTTATGTAGTTTATATGCAATAGTAAACAGGTAAACGCACACTGAAGGTAATATTACTTAGTCGCAAGGGTACAATCCGCGCAATGCACAGTATTAGACGCACTAACTCGATATAGGTTTCGCGACATAATAAAGAACTTGTTCAAGTGATAACGTTTGATATCACAAGGTAGCCCAATAATTACATAAGAAAATGTTTGAATAAAATATGGCGTAAACTGTTTTATATCTACCTAATGATAAACAAGGCAGTCTCTATTTGTTATAAAGACACGAAGTCTATTGAAAATATTATATTACATTTATTATATTTTCAATAGACTTCTTAAACAACAGAAAGTGCATGTTTAATGTTTTATTTTTTGAGTTCTACTTACTACTTTAGATTTTTTTTAATGATTGCTACTTCTTACATAGTCAGTACAGTTATTTAAATTAACAAATAGTTCAGGATAAAATTTTACAGCTAAATTCATGTAGGATACTTTTTATCCATACCACGGCTTTTCTGCCCATATTTATACTTAGCCATATTTTACCTTTATTTGTTACAATAACAATGAATTTATAACAAAAACTATATGCTTTGATTAGTTTATAAGTATTACTAAAAGTAATAAGTTATTCTATATTATATAAATACGTAATATTTAATTCTTTGTCCTAATTATCAGTCATAAAATAAATAAATAACATAATAACCGCGAATAAAGTTTTTCAATATTATTAACTGTGTCTGATTAAAAAATATTTTTCCCCAATAATTACTCGTTACGATCGATGGTTTAGGTCTATGCGATAAGCTTTATGTTATAAGGAAAAACTCAACACACACCAAATCAACGAATATGCACACAAATTATACTTGTAGATGATAGATAAAACATGCATTTTCTTGACTGGAAAATTAAATCATGCCGTTAGTTTAATTGCACAATTCTTAGTTAATTCATAAAAACAGTAACGCATTCACACTTGCAATCATCCTTGCGCAGACCGTGTTCGAATGTCGGCGGAGAGCGAAACCATGGAACGCAGCGAATCCATGGCTGATGCGACGGTGTTCTCCAGGCGGTGCTGTTACCGTGAATCGCGGCACATTGAAGTGGGTCCCTGCGGACATGGGACCCATGTGTTCAACACTACCACTTCCAATAGGCAAGTGCAAAAAGGATGGCCTCCGCCGTTTATGGTGATGTATCAATGGTGGGGCCAAACTCGACCCGGCGATACTGTTACTTTTCGCACGATGCGGAGGTATCACCTCATCCGGTGTATTCAGCTCCGATTTTTCAGATGCAGAGCCGCTGCGCTCGGAGTCCGACGATGGCGGTGACTCTTGAACAACCTCGAGCGGAGGTCCCTCGCTCGCAGCGGAAGGCGGTCTCGACACATTTCTCGGCCTATGGAGATTTGCAATAAGGCATCGTATGTGCACATATTCGTTATCTTTACTAAACGTGTCCGGAAGATGAGGTGGACGGGACATAATGCTACGATTTCGCACATAATAAGAGTGCGCACAGCACGGCGTCCACTGACAGATTTGTGAACGTTGTGACTAAGCCGCGCTACGAGCGAAACGACGCTGTACGCTGGCTGGGCGGATACTATTTAGAGCGCGAAGTGATGTAAGGCGGGCGGAGGGCGTTCACTATGAATGAACGCTTCCGACTAATACGTACAAGAGAATATGTGCTGCAAGAATGCAGCGAGAGTCGTTTGAGGATTGCGGAGGCGCTACGGTGCACGACTCGCTCTGGGGGCAGCATGTTGCGCGGTGTCCGGTTAAATTGTGCCGGTGACTTGTAGCTCGAGAGCTTCTCGACTCAGCGGGTGCTCTCCCCGCCGCCGAACTCCCATTAAGTATTTCTTTCATGGCGTTTGAATGATCTAAACTTGCTTTTTAATCGCAGATATCAAGTCATTCTGTATTGAGATGTCATTAAACGAGTTTCTTGGTCGTACATAGTACGTAACGGAACGAGTATAACAAGCCCAAATCCAGCGATTATACGTAAATCTGTTATACCTAAGAAACATAGATGTAAGTGTTAACAGTAAAAATTGTTAACATATTTTTATTTAATGTTGCAGAGTCAAATTTTCAAATAAAACATGGACATATATCCAATGCGAACATATTACAGTACATATTGATTGACAGGCATACATAATATTCAATATATTCCTGTCAATCATTATGTACAGTAATACATATAATTTCAGCCTATTATTTTCAGCTACTCACAAAAGGTGTAAAAAATACAATTTGATTTTTTACACCTCTTGATGATATAAATTTTCTATCTATATCCAATATACATTTATATGCTGCTTTTTAGTATTTTGTAGTATTTAGTAATATCATAGTTTACATTATTTAAAAAAAGGAAACATGAAAATTTCCTGAAAGTATTTCCAATGCTTTTCGGTTCAGAATAATTCTAAGTTAAAAGTTTTGTCAACTTGTTCCACACAGCCCAAATATATGAAATCCAGCAGGATCTCACTGTTCTCAACCAGAGAAGAATATTATGCTATTACCTACAAAGTAGACCAAGTGACTTAATATAGAGCTGTCTTTCTTTATTTATTGCGCTTTTTTTAGTGATTACAAACATTATTCACACTTTACATTAAAACTATTATCATGTAGCTTTATAAAAAAATCGAATTTTATGTCACAATATACCAGTTAGGTAAATAAACATAAAATAGATACATAATATTATGAGGAAAAATATTTAAATTGTATCGTGTCTATAATGTTGTAGTGAGTCAGGGTACACGTTCGCATCATCGTAAAGTTTATAACCGGTCCCACAATCTATCATTGCAAACGGCAAAAAGGTCCAAAGGTGAAGATACGCAGTAAAAGGAGAGCAAAAAGTATAACGGGGTTACAGGATTCCATGCAGTTAAGCGCAACCGCACACAGTAATAAACGAAATAGAATTCTATGTGCATATATAGGAATCTTCAATGATTTGAAAATTATATACACTTGTTCAGGCCACGAAGAAACGACTTCAAACGTAACACGTTTGAAGTCTACTATAATGATAACACAAAACTACTGGTCAAAATTTAACAACTATATACGTGGTCATGTCGTTCTCACATCGTTAGTTAAATAGAAAAATAGCAGTATTCAAAATGTACATTTTTTACAAGACAAGTATTTATAGTTTTTTTTAATTTGTTTTTCCTTTAAAATTTTAAATTTACACTATAGTATTATATGTCATTTTAAAAGTATTTAGATAATGATTAAGACGGCATGGTTAATTTAATTGACTTATATAAAAGGAGACAATTCTAGCTTCTAATTTTGAAAAATGACATTTTTCTGTTTAATCGATGACACACAAAATACATTTTTTTTAAATCGGGTCATCTAGAAAAAAATTTTGATACGTTATGTAACACACATAACAAAACTGTAGAATAGTAACACTTTTTAATTGATTTTGTATTTGAATTCGTAAATTAAAAATCCTTTAATCTATAATAGCTACATTATTAATACAATACAGTAAGATATATAGGCAATATAATAATATTTCCATAATGCAAGGAAATCCGGAGCGTGTTGACAATAATTAACATACTAGGACTAATAGTTACCTGTCCATAGTTTCTTAGAAATGAGGTCGCACGTAACATTTTAATCCACCATTAGATTGTTTTAAACTATTCTGATGAAAATCTTAATAGAAAATTGACCACCATCAACATTCTTTCTACTGGGTTTGTACCTCTTGAAGACGTTGCTCTTATACCTGATAATGTTTTGCAAAGCTTAAGGTGTATTAATATTTGATCACCATAAAAACTATGGTTCTCTAAACAAGAGATTTGTAAGATAACACATAAAATATGATTATTGCACCATAGTTTACCTATACCAAAACGTGTGGATATGATAATGATAAGAAAGTTTACTTGAATTTCAAAAGCAATGAATACCAAGATTTTATGGTGTATTTATAACTTCAACGGTTAAAAAGATTGGCGCCGCCGTGGCGATCAATGGACGCGGATTTTATTTTTATCATACAATAGTTATTCTATTTTTCGAAACCTAAACTTGGTAAAATGTCGAGATTATACGTTTGTTTCAGATATACCTATCATCTATGTCATTTAAACCCATATTACAAAGTGAAAAGATTTAGTATTTTGTTTGTAATCAATAAACGAAATAAAACTTTATTACATAAATTTTCATTACCAGCGACAAATATCGTATAAGGTTTTTATTTAAAAAATATGATGATCATTAAAAAAAAAGAGAGAGTAAAGGCACTGTTTTTATTTTTTATTCATCATTAATTTGAAACATAAAGACAGGCAAAGCCCTTGTTGTTGACTTTCTACAAACATGCCGTATGTCATACCAATTGTAGTAATGCTAGCTAGTTCCATACTACAAGTTCGATCTTTGTACCACCAATTATTATAGCAGAACACATTATAAATATGTACAATACTAATAAAACATCTTGACTAACTAAAATTTGAAAAAAATTCTCAGCGAGTGATTTTCGTCATGTCCAGTTGTCAACACGATATCTCGTGAAAGTTGGCTAAGGTCCATAGGGGATGTTTGCCGCTTGAGCGATTTCTAACGAGGAAATGAATGAAAATAAATATGGTTGTCACATGCAGGTATTTGGGGCCGGGATTTCAGCAATCAATCAATTAGTTTGCTGCCACCTAAGCATGCTGTCGTTCAAGGCACGCAGTATGTACGCTTCAACAACAGCCAACATAGTTGATTCACTAAATAAAACAATATTAATCCTGTACCCAATAGTTATAAAATGATTATAATAATAATATATTCTATGATGACGGTAGTCGCCTGCCATATTGCATTTTAAAATTGCGTTTACTTCTAACTATCATACCAACCACAACAGTTCGTATTGTATTGTTTGAATTAGAAAATTACAGCAGTTTAGGCCCATATATTGATAGGCCAATAACAAAGTTCGACAATTACCGAGTTAGCCCAAAAAGTCGTGTACGTGGGTACATCAGTTTCATGTACAGTAACAAATGTCAGTGAAATTACAGGCAAGACGTATATCACATGATGATATAATATCCGTAGTGTAGAATATGTATGTATATAAACAACGGTTACCATTTACCATCAGGTGGTTTTAGTTTAAAAAAGGATTATTTACCTATCGATATTTAAACACATGTATCGAGTAAAAATAACATCACCCTCGGTGAGCTATATTTTCGTGGCCGCCCCCTAGGTACTTACAGTTAAAACCTTTTTTAATCAAAAACACGGAGCAAGCAACGGTACAAGGTAAAGTTTTATTTGCGGAAATGTTGATTTATTTAAGGGACAAAACAGTCACTTAACACACTGAAAATAGTCGCATTTAAAATATTGACGCACCTAAAAATAATGAACATTAATGTTGTTAAACCATTGTTTATGGCACAGTAAACATATCATATTCTATATACGATAAAGAGTATAAAAAATATGTATATTACAAATAAATAATACGTAATTACTATTACTTATTAGTGATTCGTAATATATAAATATAATATTAAATTATATATCTATTTGTTAACGAATAAGAAAGTTAAATAAAAAATAAAATTATTTATGGGAACTTCACGAAACTAAACTCCATCGATTCCAAAACTAATAAATACTCTAAAAAAAAATATTACTTATTTTAAATATTGACAACATCTTGTGTAGGTTTCCATGGGAATAGGCTATGTCATCATGGATCATCAGAATTGATCCACTAACTGATAGTAACATTAATGCCTCTGTAATATTGGGCAATAGTATTGGAATCGAGTATTTATTGATACACTAGCAATTATCAATTAAAACAGTCTTTTCAATACGAATTAAAAAATATTAAGTCTACAACACATTTTGCTTTAGAAAAAAAATAATTAAATACATGTTTGAATTCATAACTAGACAAACAAGATATAATAATTCAGACTACGAACGGTACCTCACACACAACTGATTCGTTGACAGTATCTCTCACGAACTTGTAATATGGAAAAAGACTGCCGTAACTCCGAGGTACTCGTAGTGGCAACATGAGGGGTCGCCGCTCGGCCAACGGTGTCGAGGGACCAGCCCTGCCCATCCATGATGATGACATATCTTAACAATTACTATAGCTTTAGTCCGAACACTTTTATCACAATACATTGTAGTATGCCATTTCCACATTTGAATATAAAACACGAACAATTTGAAACGTAGCTGATGTTAAATAAGGCTTAATTTCAATTGACTTATTCATATGACGGGTAGTTTGAAAAACCTCAATAATAATTTTAATTAAGGCATTGAACGAGTCCTGCAACAAGCGTCACATCGCTACAGACCCGTAAGTACTGTAGAAGATAAGATTTGATTGAAGTAATAGAATTAAATTATAAGTAAGGGGCTGCTTATCAGTTATCGTTGCGTGTCGGTCTGTTTGCTAACTACGTTTACAGTGACGATTAAACTGTTCTCTATGGTATTTAAAAGCGAACTTTACAGAACATATATATATATATATAAATTAGATTTTATTGTACATTAAAGTAATCA